TATCTGTATGCGTGTGAGCGCCGCGTGACCCTTCCGCCATGAGTGCCGATGAGTGCATTGTCTTAATTATTGATAGTGGAAATTGGAATCTAATGAAATTTCCAGCATCTTGAAACCAGAACTCGTCTCAGCGCGTCGTGCATACGAACACACGCTCTCCCCCCCCCACCGGTGTGTAGCTGTGTTGTGGTGTTCAGAGAGTTCGGGATGAAGTGACGCAGCTGAAATGTATATTTGTTCCAATAATGTCGGTCCTCTCATCACTGAGTTGGGCTTTGTTTATTGCCCATTACTGGTTTGTGTGAGGTCACCATGCTCAAAACTCACAGTACGCTCTCTGTAAAAATAGTCCATTACATTTGGATGCACGCTATAGTATGACATAAAATTTTAAAAAACACTTTCAGGACCTCAGAAAAACCAAAACGTTTTAAATTGGATCTGTCAAATTTTTGCATTTTTGCTTAGCAAACTTCTATGTTATATTGATCAATCAATATAAATCTCATAGACGTTGTAACTCTACTGTAAGTGTATTTCGCTACTAATGCCTCGTTGATGTTTTACCATTGTTGCATTTCTATGGAGCAAAATCCAGGCCAAACGATCTGAAACTGGAAAGATTTGAAACTTCAAAATATAACATCTGCAGCCGAAAAATACCTTGAATATCTCAATATTAAGAGAGAAAAACCCCAAAATAAGTTGTCAATTTATTATATTTTGAATACGTTGTTTTATTTTTTAATGTTCACATTTGTTTGTCAAAGGATGAACTTTTCACCTCCACACATCACATCATTTGTTTTTCATGCACATTTTAAATGGAAACAGACAATCTGAAAAAAATCTATAAAATATTGCTCTGCTACGTTGAAAGGTTTTGCTACTCTACTCACATAAAGGGGGTGGATGGATTTTCTTTGGATTTTCCTCATTTTAGGAGAAGAGATGGAGCTTGTGTGTCTGTGTGTGTGTCTGTGTGTGTGTGATGGAGGCCCAACTCAGTGGGAACAGTCGGTCGTGTCGGTGCAATACCAGAGTGTCCGCATGTGAACTCTGTCCAGAGAACGGTGCAGCTTTTCGGAGCTCAATGTCAAACCGGCCCCCGGTGGACCCCTTTGTGCATAAAGTCCCCCGTTCGCTGTGCCGGTCTCCCCGGCGCACTAGCGGACGACTTTGATCCACCGAGCGGTCCCAACCGGACTGCGCGTTGTGCGAGTTGGCGCGCTCGGGCTCGTCGCCCCGCTGGGCCATCTGCGCGCGTTGACAGATTACCAGCGAGCCGTTTTGATCCAGGTAGTCCGGGAGGAAGCGAAGCCCGGTTGAAATCAATAGGAGCCTGGTTTCCTCTGGGCCTCCGCTCCGAGGTCTCTGCGGGATGATTGGCAGCTCCCTGTTCATCAGCTCGTTGTCGAAAGATTATTAAAAGCGCGAGTCAGCACTTGACCCCCCCCCGACCCTGTTTTTAGTCCGCGCGCGTCATCGGCTGACAAGTTTGTTTTTTTGGCAGAATGCTGAGTCGTGCTGTGTTTTTCATACGTATTTATTATTATTTTTTTCTATACACACCGGAATTCTTTTTTTAAATACAATTCCAAGGGAGATGCCGCCTGATGTCTCAGATATTACGGTTTGGCTCCAACTAAATCCGTTTTGGTTCCTCTCCAAGGGGCCGTCTCTCCTTGCACAGCACGGCGTAAACCTGCTTTATTACATTTAGTACAGAGAACACTCGCTAATTAATGTAGCCGACAGCCTGTGCGGGAATAATTGTGTGTGTGTGTGTGTGTGTGTGTGTGTTTGTGCTGCTCCTGCCTTGGTTTTTCACGGAGCTGAAGTCTCCGAGCCTCATTAGTGTCCGTGCACTCGTGTGCAACAGGGAAATGTAAATGTTCGTTCTTTGTGTGTGTGTGTGTGTGCGTGTGCGTGTGCGTGTGCGCTTTTATTGTCTGTGTCTTTGTCTTTGACCCTCCGCCCAGGCGGACACGCAGACAGGCAGGGGATTTGCATCTGATCTGTTTGATCCATCCACTCAAAACACATCAGGCGGCTTCGCTGCAGAGAAGCCGGGCAGCGCGCTTGTTTCTCAGGCAGGGGGAGGGAGGGAGGGAGGGAGGAGGGAGGAGGGATTTAACAGGTGAGTGATGCAGAGGGAACGCAGCCAAATGGAGAGTTGCGGGGGATAAAACGCTCCGGGTCATATGAAGATAGGAAGGGACGGCTCTTATTTAACTTACTTACGAGCGGGACGTTTCTCTCTCCTGCACGGGAGTCCCGGCCCACTCAGGCGCGCCTCACCCACACTTCTGATTGCCGGCGCGCCCGCGCAGAGGGATGAGTCCACCTGTCTTGAAGCGCCGGTCACCAGACCCGCCGGTGGGGACGGACGCTCCGTCCCTCGTCCTCCCCGTGTCACCGAGCGCAGCCCGACATGTAGGATTATAACATGGAACTGTTTGTTTTTTCTTTCTTTCTTTGGCCGAATCATTGACCTGGACGTAAAACAAAGCCCCAATAGACGGCACCCTGTTATCACTGCATGTCTGGGACTCACATGGACGTGAATTCAAATTGGCTCAAAGGCACATGCAGAAGCAAGGCCCTATGAACACGTCGGCCCAATGGCAAATATACTGAGCGTATCCCACATACTCACTCAAACAAGCACACGCAGGTCCACCCATGATGCTTTGTAGAACATAATACTTCTATGAATTATATATGCCGATGCTTTCCAAGGTGTATTTTTAGGGATTGCACATGGATAGCTTTAAAGGTCCAGAGCGGGCCCCCACCTCCCGGTGAAACCAACAATCCTTTTCTTCTCCCAGTCATATAGGAGGAAATCTTAAGGGAGAATTTAGCTGAACACTTGATACTTCAGGCTCCCGAAGCTACATCGCTACTTGCTTCTCGCGTTGAGCGTTTCTCTTCTCCGGCAGATTAAATCTCTCACTGCACTTGAGAAACGTCTCGAAAGTGCCGGAGACGAACGCAACTTGGCTCGGGGGGAGTTTTGCTTCTCTCTGGAGCGCTCGTTTTGTTTCCATGGAAACTCATTTTTTAATTTTCATTGGCGAACAAAGCGGGACGACGGGGGGTTCAAATAATGGGACGCTCCTCGTCGCTGCTCGCTGTGGAAGATGAAACGGACACTTTTATGCTTTCATGTCGACAAATTGGCTGCGTTCGAGGGGCTGGAATAGAATATCCGAACGGTGGGTTTGTTAAAAATCTGTATTTGGGTCCAAACCCTGTCGCTTGTTAATGGAAAAGCAGCTTCACACTGCGTATTCCCTTTAGCTGCTGAAGAGGGACACACTCGAAGCGGGGACATCCTTTGAATTATGTCACAGATGGCAGCGCCCCCCCCCCCCTCCCCGGCTGATATTAATGGCCACATGCACTCCCGCTGACAACGAGTTACCATTGTACTATCGGGGGCAGGTTAATGCTTAGCGCTGCAGAATCGGGGCAGCCCGCTGCATAAATCAAACGTCGGGCCGGATTATAGCTGCACAATTGAGTTTTGAGGAAAGCCTCTGGAAGGGTCTGTGGTGCACTAAATCACATGGGGGGATGCGGGGGCTCACAGCCGTTTGTGGCTGTGTGGAGGCCTCGTCCACAAGTAAGGAAGCATCGCTCACTCGCTGTGTGTATATCGTCATCACTGAAACTGACTGCTATTTGAGTCTTTATCGCCTCACTTGTTTTTGTATTTACAGTTGAGCCTTCATACAAATGACAGTCAACTCTTTTATGAAGCTTTTACAATGTCAATAAAGTATTCTGACACTTCCTTCCTGGATCAGTCTCACATGGATATGAGTGAAGTGCCCATGACTGTAATTATAGCGCGCTACATATCCTATAATATGCTATAATATGTGCATTATTAATCATGGGCGTTTTGGAGCCTGAATATATAATACGAGAAAACGGCCAAATCCTGCGATTCTTACTTGGAGCTAAAGAGTGTGTGTGTGTGTGTCTGTGTGTCTGTGTGTGTCTGTGTGTCTGTGTGTCTGTGTGTCTGTGTGTCTGTGTGTCTGTTGTGCCTGTTGTGCCTGCTGGGCGAGCTATAAATAGCCTCCTGGTGACAGCAGGACTAACAGCCTAATGTGAGGGAGAGCGTCTTGTGTTCATTATTTTTAACTTCATATACATTTCTTTATTTTTACAGCAGTGTTCCTGCTCACAGCTTGTGTTCCTCACATCAACGCCACCGTTGAACTGACAGTGACAGTTAAATACCTCAATGACTCTTTTGTATTTATGTACCTCAGTTGAAGCGCAGAATAGACAGCTGGTGTGAAGAGTGCGGCGTCTCCGTTTCATCCATCCTGTCTGCTGTTTTCATGAAATATGGAGATTTAGTTATGAGGCATTAGCAGATTTACCTCCTGCTGTGAAGCCTCTGGGTTAATAAATGGGATTTAATAACTAACAGCCATTCGTTTTCTCTTCTTTAAATTTACAACATCCCTCCACTGAGATCAGTACATAAATGTTTTTATAAAAGTTTTTGGAACAAAGAACTTTTCAATGACTTACTTAGTTTCCCTTTCCCGCGTCACATCGCATCCCACCGCAAAAGAGGCGAAGATGAGCTCGTCCGCCGCTCATAAGTGGAGCCAATCAATACCTGAGTCATTTGTCCTGCGAACGAGTGGCGTTGGTGGGTGTTGGAGGCTGTTTGTCCCGCGGGAGAAGAGCTCCACGGTGGGGAGACGCATTCCCGGTTGCTGTATTTTGGGAGATGCATGATAACAGTCATCGCGTCTGCGCATTGCTATTTGTGCGATGGCTTTGGATGTCAGCCACGGCAATACGGGATTGCGCTATTTGTCTGATAGATCTCAGGTCAAAGGGCACAGTATTTGAACAGCTGTTACCGTGGGTCTTTCATCCGGTTTTAACCAGCAAATGATTTAAATTCAAGTCGATCGAGCGTAAATGTGATTAGCCCACATCTAACAGCCATTTCCCGTTCAAAGGTTCAAACTTCCTGTGCGCCACCCACATCATCCCCGTGAAGAACGAGGAGGGCGTGGTCATGATGTTCATCCTCAACTTCGACTACATCCTGGATGAGGAGAGCAGCGACTCTCTGGAGAGACTCAACCACACGTCGCCCTCCAAAGCAGACCAACGTGAGTAAAGAGTGGAGACCATTGGTTACTAATGCAGTTTTTTTTTGCTACGTGAATTCGTTCAGTTTAGTGTCCTGCCCCTTTAGCGTAACGCCTTGACCTGACCCGGTGCGTTTGCCTGACAGCTCCCCGGCACTGTGACGCCAGAGTTTAGCCGACACTTGATGTGTTAGTCTGCCGTCGTCTCAAAGGTCTGCCCCATTTACAGCTCTTAGCCTGCCGGGATGCTCCCATGAACCTCTGCGGCTCCAGCGCTGTCGGTGTAACGCCGTACAATGACATGAGGAAGCAGCGGCGGCAGCAGCGTGGGGGGACCAGAGGTCACCTCGACATAACTGTAATTGGACGAGGCCTCTAACAGGCAGTTTTGCCTGGTGGCGCCCGGGGGATTGCGCCGAAACCGAGTTGGGAAGCGTGTGTCAAGTATATAAGCAGGTGTTTGTGTGAACAGGTGTAAAAACATAAGCCTTTCGCTGTGAGCGTCTGTGTGTCACTGAGAAGACCCTCCTCACCCAGGGCGGCCCCTGCTGGGGACGGCGTCTATGAATCGACGTCTGGAAATGTTTACAATGTCGCGCTCGGGGTCTCGCTCTCCGTCTCTGCTTCCATCCGACCTGTGAGGATGGCGCTCTGCCGTGGAGATTCAGGATTCCTCGGCCCCAGTTGACCCCGGGGGGGGGGGCTGAGGTATCCCATTAGCAGATAGACGGAGATCACAGAATACCGGCAGGCTCACCTGATAATAAGCTAATAAAGGCAAGAACCCTCTGCAGATGGAAGCCGGAGTGTTGCTATTCCAGTACTCCATGCGCTGGTGATCCATGTGCTGCCTGATTTCCGGGCCCTCTGGGGAGGGGGAGGCAGCGCCGAAGGGGGCCGATGGCCTTCCCCGCTTGGCAACCACCATCCATTCTGCCACCGTTGTCCTGCTACGGCTTCAATGTGGCTGAGCAGGAGAAGTTCAACAGAATCCCTCATTCCTGGTCGACGGGGGAAATGGTGTATTCATTAGGTTCATCTCAGGTTAAGCTGGAGGATACGGTGAATTTGGCATTAACGGTAAAATAATGATCATGTGTAATGTTTCTTAGCTAATGTTCACACCTTACAGGACGGATACAGTTCAAGTGTATATGTGACTTCGATGTGATCCGGAGTCTGAACAAAACTAGAGAAACTTCCGACATGAAGACACCAGGAAAACTACTCAGAAACCTCATCTGCAGGTGTTCCTCCTACACAAGGTGTCCGGGACCGCGATGTCTCACGCGCTCTCACAAGTTGAAAAATGCATTAGCCGCTTCATCATAGCAGCTATTTTTAACTCTTAACTCTCTGGCCTCTTTCAGAGGGAGAGAGACGCATAACTCCGTGTGCTGAAGCGTCACATACCTTGTGCTTGTTAGTGCACCTTGAGGTGTGGGGCCTCGGCGTGAGTCCACTTCCCGTGTTGTTGGACGGCTCCGCTGCTTAGAGAACACAACACCAGCTGCTGGGTGTCGCTCTTCAATCGGCAGGCGAGTCAGTGGGAAGAAAGTGCCGGTGGGGGCGGCTGGGATTTTTCTTTTAGAGGAAATGAAATACGGTGATGTTTTATCTCTACCGGCCATCACTCCTCTGGTTGTTAAAAAAAATAATCTATTAGACATGACGCTTGATTTAGCCCCTTAGGAAAAAATGTGATCATGGATTTATGGTCTTAATTGCTAGTTTTGTTTTCAATGCAGCATGATATCGTAAATTATGATCCATTTATAGTCAAATAGACCATAACGCGAGGTGGGCTTTAGGTCAGTGTGATTGACAGGTCGCTCCGCCTGTCCTGATGTGGACACTCGAACATTCATTGATGGCTGAAACCAAGTAGCGACGACTTTGTCAACCACCTCCTCAACAGTCTGTTTTTCTCTCCTCATATACAGAAACACTGAACCAAATACCGGTAACTAAGTAACAGATTAATCGCCGTCGCACTTTAATTCTGTCAATAAATGAGTGCAGGGACGCAGCAGACAGCTGCTGAGTAACCGGAGCAGAGCTTGACAGTAACATATTTGCTCACTGTGGCTACTGGTTTCCAAATTAGCCACCATTTTTGTCGTTGGGAAGTTTAATTTAATTAAAGTTGACTACGGTTTGCTACAATTTACTTTTAAATTCCTTTCAAATGTAAATGAGAATTGTAAACGCCCAAATCAAGACTATTGTTGTTTATTGTAATGTTTATGTACAGTCACCTGTACATAAACCAAAGGAGCTTTAAGTATGTAAAACTCCTTTGGTATGAAAACATATGCAACTGATTAAGACAAAGACAAAAAGAGCAGCTCATTGCACAAAACTGGTGCAGAGATATTTTGTTGGTCCTTTTATTGTTTCCACTGTGAAGTTACTTGTCCCAACTACAACAGCGACCTCCTTCACCTTTCACTGCCGTACGTCCTGCGATCATGAACCAGCCATTCTCAACTGGACCTCGGCCTTTTTTATTTTCTTTGTCTTCTCATCATTTTTGTCTCTCGTCTCTCCTCCGGGTTTGCCTACAGCTGCTTGCGTGCCGCCACGTCCTCCACTCGCACTGAGCGGCTCTCACGTTGCACGGAACGCCTCCACCTCTCGCGCGTGTTTGCGCGTCTTTTGTTGCTCAGCAACGAGCGCACGGCGGGCCGAGAGGGGAAGCGGCGCGTGCGCGATACGTCTCGACGTGTGGCCGTGTGAACTGGTTGAGATGCGTGTGTCACGGTCCATGCGGGAGGCGCGAGACGTCCGCAATGACCTTACGGCAACACTGGAGGGACATGCTGTATAAAGCGCAAACCATCCCAGCAGTATAATTGGGTGGGCGGGTGCTGATGTCAAGGAGGACCCGGGAGTCCAGGTAGAAACGTTGGTATGCAAATCAGCTGGTAACCTGCATCGCAGATTTGAATACATTTAGAATCACAAGAATCAGAAACCGGAGGACACAAAGCCGCCTTTGTCCCTCCACACCGGACACACTGCTCGGATTACTGAGAGACATTTCACCCCCCAACGCGGGGATCTGAGGACGCAATTTAATTTTCAATGCAAATATTACAATCTGGTATCGTAGCAACCAGGTCTAGCGTGCGTCTGTTGGCTGTGGAGAAGCTGAGGGTTTTTTTTTTTTTTCTGGTGAGAGATGAAGTTAGTGAAGACACACACACACACACACACACACACACACACACACACACCCCAGCAACAGCAGTCAGAGCCCTTTCAGTAGGACAACTAAATATAGCTCCATACGACACTGAATTATGAGCTAATTAAAGGATTTGCGGCGCGTGTGTTTATTCTCTGGGCGCCATAATTAGAAACACACCGTGGAGCGCTGCGAAAAATTCCAAACAAATTTCTGTCATCTCAGTGTTTTTAATTAAACTGTCAAAAACGTGTAGTGCTTCAGCTGCGCAATTCATTTAAAAAAAAAAAAAAAAAAAAGTCTGTCGGACCATCGCGAGACGCTCTTCTGATGGTGTTTTTGACGAATGGTCTCATCCTTTCTCACATGACGCAGAACTTTGTTCTCATCTTCACTTTAGTCCCAAGTTCAAGCATCTGAAGAAGAGGGGGGGCACATTCTCGAGGCCTACAGAGCGGGTGGGCCGTGTGGAAACAGATGGAGGCCTTTGTTGCCGCTGTGTGAATACAGAAGACTTTGTTTCATTTTGCTTCATGGAAGGAAAACGATCAAACCGTAAAATCTACTTTGTAAACCCAGCGCTCACATGGGGAATTAGCCCCTTGTCATATTCCCTGATTCACAAACGCTTCCCTGTGGCCCGAAGGCGGCTGGCGAGAAGCGGGCGCGCGCGGCCTTCAGGAAACCGCGTGCTATCGGTCAATGTCTGTCCGCCGCCTCGCACTCCGCCCTCGACGCGCCACAGTCGTTACACTTCACCCAACGTCTTCCCCCATGAATAATTGAAGACGATCGAAGATTTAGTGCCTGACCAAGATCGTACTTTTTTTTTTTTTTAAGGCCACGTTGGCGGGGCCCCTCTAAACAACCACGAGGCATCCGCCGGGGGGTCACGCCGACGCCGCTGGCTCATTAAAAACCAGTCCCTAGTTTTCCGCAGGCTTTTGAATGGGATACCTCATTGCCCGCTCCGTCACCAGCTCGACTTCTCGTGTGCTGATGTGACGCTACGCTCGCTGCTCTTTTCTCTCTCTCTCTCTCTCTCAGGGAAAGGGCGCTTCTTTCGCTTCCGTTTCCCGGCCATCCCGCTGCTGGGCATCAGCAAGCAGTCGCTCCCCCAGGAGGACCCCGACGCCGTCACGGTGGACTCGCCGCGCCACAGCGAGGGCTCGGTGGCCACGCGCGACTACCAGCCCCCCGCCACGCGCGAGAGCCGCAGCCCCTCCTACGCCAACGACACCCGCGCCCTCATCGGCCCCAGCCACTGCTCCACCCCGCTGGCCGGGCCCCTGGACCACTCGTCGCCCAAGGGCCCCCGGGGCCGGTCGTACCCGGAGCGGACGGTCACCCGGTCCCACCACCGGAGCAACGAGGAAACGCTGGTGGCGGCGCCGTCGATCCCGGGCCTCACGCCGACCGCGTCCGGGGAGAGCGTGTGCAGCATTCGCAGAGCCTCCTCCGTGCACGACATGGAAGGCTTCGGCGCCAACGCCAAGATGGCGTTCAGGGGCCGACACGCCAGTGAAGGTAGGAGTCTCCTGCGCTCCTATGGAGCCCGTATGGTAACTAGCTGTGAGTGATGGAATCTAAAACACATGCAGAAAATCACATTGTATGATTTAAAAATATATATTTGCAGCTTATTTATTTATAAGTGGAAAAACATGCAAAGTCGGCAGTGTATGAAATACTTGGTATATACATATACAATAAGTAGCCAGCGTGGTATAGAAGTATTAAATGGTGAGCAAACGCTATCCTAACATTTAGAGGAACTAAAATATGAAATGGTTCTGTATAATACGGGACTTGTTGGGAAATGTATTACGTTACAAATATTATACTACTATATTTTGGTCTTTACTTCTGGCCGAACTGACTGATCCCAACCGTCGGAGGCAGATGTGGAGCCTCTTAATCACCATTATAGTGCGTCACGGTCTACACTGTGTGCTATTGAACTTCCCGTGAGTCGCATTAGGCCTTTGGCCTTCATTTGGATCGGGGAAAAAGACCGTCCGTTTCCTGCAGGCCAATTACGTCGCCCCCCCCCCCCCCTAACACCCCCTCCCCCCCCCCGACACACACACACACACACGCGTCTGAGGTTTATGTTGAATGCAAATGCACCGGCATTGTATGCCGGGAACACCGACCGGCCCGACCCCGAGCCAGTCGGCCAGGAGACGGCTTGCTTTGGAAAAACGCCACGTGGACGTTGGAGAGAATCGATGGCGCTTTACCAGATGACGCCGCTGTCTGCGACCGCTCTCCCTTGGGGGAAGGAAGGGGGAGCCGTTCCCGTCTCTGCATGTTTACGCACAAACTACCGTTTCGTTTAGGCCCTTTTTTTCCTCCTCAATGCTGCACTGTTTAATATATGAGGTCGTGTTCATGCCGATGACGACTTGCCCTGCGATCCGGCCCCTCCCTCCTCCCTCCCTCCTCCTCCCTCCCTCCCTCCGCTGTTCCCGCTTTCCACTTCACCCCCCGTTTCTTCTCTCTCCCGGTTGGCTAGTGTCTCGCTCCTGGATGGCCGGGGGTATGGCTTCTGCTTTTTTCCCCTTTTGTTGAACTTATTTTTCATGACTGTGACGAGTGTGACCGTGGCATGAAGCTGTGCTCATCATCAGCTGTCTGTTCCTCCGTCCTCGACTCTCAATCACTGCACTGTGAAAAAAAATAGTCACTGAGCTGAATCAGCGATCCTTTCTTTTTCACTTTTTATCGCTCTCATTGGGTGATGTGTGTGTGTGTGTGTGTGTGTGTGTGTGTGTGTGTGTGTGTGTGTGTGTGTGTGTGTGTGTGTGTGTGTTTGTTAGTGTAGTGCCGTCACAGTGTTTCAGTGTTGAATGAAGTCGATCATTGAGAGTCCGTCTTTCGATGTGCTGTGAAGTTGTAAAGATCGTTGTTTAGAAGGAACAGAATAGAACATTTAGTTCATTCCGGCGTTTGGTACCAGCACCGGTCCCTTTGCCCTTTGGTTCGGTTCAGCTGCGGCCCATCGAGACACGTTTCTCTCTTTCAAGTTTCAGCAACTTTAATTGCTCCATACATGAAGGCAGCCCTGGCTTCCCCCCCTGTAGGAACCTCCCGGCTATAAATGTGTTTTATAAAGTGAAGTTACCAGAACTTGGCCGTAGTAGATTGAACTGGAATCGGTACTCGTTAGTACCCACATTTGTTTGCTACTCCCAGTGGCACCCGGCCCTCGTTGGTTCAACAAAACCCAAATAAATATTAGAAGTTTGAGTCGTTGTTCTTTGGCCCGTTTCTCATTATCCTTTTTAATGAGAAACCTTTGAAAGGCCTTTTTCAATCAGATGGTGCAGAGTTGATCCTTCGGTGTCTGTTGTATTTTCTCTGTTGTGTCGTTGTTTCAGCTCACTCCAAAAGTAATGGCGCGCCCCATGCTCATTTCCCATGATGCAACGGTCGCCAGAGAACGATTCAGAGCGCGCAGCACCTCTTTACCGACACCCGTGTCGCTCTCCGTTTCAGGACCGCTCAGCCAGATCAGGTCCAGCCTGCTGGGCTCCACCTCCGACTCCCACCTCAACAAGTACAGCACCATCAACAAGATCCCCCTGATCACGCTCAACTTCTCCGAGGCCAACAACGAGAAGAAGTGCCCCTCCCCGCCGTCCTCCGAGAAAACCATCATCGCGCCGAAGGTCAAAGACCGCACGCACAACGTCACCGACAAGGTCACGCAGGTGAGCCGTCGGCCTGCATGTGGACATGTTTATTGGATTCACGCAACCTGCTCTGATCACATGACACATGAGCCCACGTGATCGCAGCTGATCGGGTCCGTCGTGTTGGACCCATTCGGGTCTTTATGGGTTCATCCACTTTCAGTTCCGTTCACGGTACTTCAAGCGTGTACTTTGAATCCTTAAAATCCTTCATAGAACTAATGCAGATAAAAATGTAGTACCTCAAAACCTTTTGTTTTCAGACTGGTGCTCAAACATAGTTTGGTATTTGTAAAATGCAATTTGGTTTCCAAACCACCTATAATTCAGTCTTGTTTTTCATATTGTGATACTTATTTTGGTCTATTTGGTTTTTCCTTGTTACATTTTTATTTGTTTTTTTTTGAAGGACTGAGTCGTTGGAATGAGACACGAGGGAAATTCGGAAAAACAATTTATCTACTCGTGTATGAAACCATCTCCTCCATGTGCCATAAAGTTCTGAGAGCAGCGAAGCCGCAGGCGGCCGTGGTTTGTCACTTTGTTTACAGCGCCAGGCCTTTTGTACAAACACTACATTTTGTTTTCAGCGCACACAGACAGCAAATATATTCGTGGAATTTGGAAGAATGTGGATTGGAATCACTGCAAACACATAAGTGTTTACTACAAATACAAACTAAAGTACTATGATGAATAAAACTAGTTGTCACTCTTTGCTGATTCACGTGCATCGCCGGTAAATCTGTCGCGATGAAATTATGATTAAAATGCCAGTTTCCCCTTTTTTTTATTTTAATGTGTAATTAAAATCTCCAATCCAACCTATTGAAAACTTTTACAATAACGAACTGTAGTAGACAATAATTTTATTAATAATTCATACCCCCGTCTGAGGTTGGGCAGACTGGAGTGTAGAGAAGTAAGAATTCCATATTAATGCCCACCGTAATATCGTTTAATATCTATAAATCACTCTCACGCTGACTGAGCAGCCGATGAAGTCAGCAGATTGCAGATCCCCCCCCCTCACCCCTCCCTTCACACCCCCCGCCTCTCCCCCACGCCCTCCTCCTCACCCCACACACCCCAAACACCCTTCACACCCCCCGCCTCTCCCCCACACACCTCACACACGAGTGCCTCAGGGTGATTTACCGTAAGTCGAGGGGTTTGATGGGCGTCCATCACTTGTAACACATATAATGAGGGAGACGCTCTAACGGGGTTAGAGGTCATTCTCACCTCCCCTGACAGCGTGGACTAGGAGGGTAAGTTACTGTATTCCCAGGCCGCCGATTGGCTGTCTGTCCATTTAAGGTGTTGCAGATGGAGGCCACAGAAGTCGACCCCTGTTGGCCGCCTGGAGCCTCCACATGCAGCATTAAAGCAGCACGGCGGTCAGGCCGGGAAACGTGCTTCCAACGGCAGTGTGCAACGTGTGGCACGCTGGAGGATCTGAGAACCCAATGCTGTGCGCACACACAAAGGCCCCATTAAATACACAATGGGCCCTCAGTTTAGATCAGTACACCGGCCTCTAGATGCCCCGACTGTGGGGAAAAACACGGACAGGAGCAGATGGCTTGAGAGAAAAGCGACCCTGGACTCCTGCGGGGCGTCGTTAGGAGGCGTCGGAGCAGGCAGCCTCCTCCCCGGCCTCCTCGGGCAGATGGAGCCCCGCAAGCCGGCCAGCTGAGGCACAGCGCTCGCACGCTGCGGCCCGAGCTCTTCCATGGCCACAACTCGTGTCTCATCCTGAACCAAAGCTGGATGTGGAAGCTTCGTCTGCCGCCTTGGAGCTGAACGATTGCTTCGGAGTGATGATATGAGCCGTGGGTCTTAAAAGGTTAATGACAGAAACATTGAACAACCCACTCTCCATTTTACACGATAAATAATATCCCAGCCCTGACGACGCAGAAGCAATAAAACAAAAAGAAAGCCAATGCTCATTTGCGTTTTATGTGAAGCCTCTCCGAACACGGTCCGTAATTTGTCGACACAGCAGGGGGGGTTCAATCATTAAGGTGGGATAGTTCTCCGTTTTGTTGGCGAGTCACCATCTTGTTGTTATGGCCACAATTGCTCATGAGTCGCGTGACGCTCTTAACACACACAACCAATTTGTTGGTTTGCGTCTGAAACGGCTGCGGGAGAATCCGCTGACGCAGCGGGACCCCCTCGTGAAGGCGACTCTAAATCTCTGGGATGAAATACATTTTGGATAAAAAACAAAATGGTAAAGGTGTGCAGGCCTTCCTGTGTGGTGATCTTACTCATTTCTAACACAGCAGCCAGCTGGGAACTGCGATGTCTGCAGCCTTTTGGACACCTGCTTTTAATGAAGTGGCAGCCTGATGAATAATAGCAGACTTTCTGGCCCCTTTGCTCCCTGGTTGAGGTCATAGGGTCATCCCGTTCGCGAGGGTGCAAACGTTTGACCCTCCAGCGCACCGAGGGCATCACTTTCTCTAATAACCAGTTCAACTATTTAGGCTTCGCCCTTTCTGCCTTTCTTTGCCTCTGCAAATGGTCCTCGCGGGGCTCGGCCCTCTCCTCCCGGTCACAGGGGTCATGGAGGCGGGCGGGCCGGAGGACGCGGTTCCCGCAGTGAACCATGTGGTTGCTGTCTCCCTTCCAGCTGGCGCACCTCCTCTTCCTCTCCCCGCCGGGCACTGGAGGACACTTAAGACGAGGAGGTGCGTCGGCCGCCCCGCTCAGGCCGTTACTTCCGAGTCGTTTGAGACTCTTTATCCCAAATGGTCCGTGAGGCCGCTGCAATATTGAGGTTAAAAGCTCCTCGGGCGTGTGTGTGGGAGCCGTGATGGCAGCGATCGTCATCTCCAGGCTCGCCGGCGCAGATCAGAGCTCCATTTTGGAATGATGGGATTTCATGCAGGCGGTTTTCATTTCTTATGAAACGGGTTTCTTTTTGTTTCTCCCAGATGTTCACGTCTCACTAGATCACGATAAACAGCTGCCGCAACAACCGCTGTAATCTAAGTTTTCGTGGTCACGGAGGTCGTTGTTGTCGCTTATTGCTCCTATTAATACATCTTACAATTAAATATTACTAATATCATTTCTATCATCGTGAGTATAGTATTTATTCGTCCTGGCCGGAGTGATCTGCCTGTGCCGGGTTCTCTCTCCCGCTATGCAGCGGATTCGACTCCTGCAGCCAGATTCCTCCCGTGTCCACAGACGCGACCTGATCCTCAGTCGTGTGTCCTGATGCAACTCGGCAGCGGCACAGAAACGCTAATGAATGCCGGCTTAACATTTCACCAAATGTAATATATTCTCTTGAAACGGCGAGGCATGATTACGATTCTTTAGACGCTCGTCATTGTGACCTTGTGTACATGCAGAGAAATCGGACAGTGGAGACTTTGAAAACGCTTTTTCTACCTTAAAGGGTTTCTCCTTGATTCAACGCTCCAAGTTGTGCTTCTCTGGTGAGACTGAATTCAAAGGAAGATTTTCAAAGAGCTGAGATGTTGTGAATGATTCCAAGAGCACTGGGTCCTACGTTTCCCATAATGCAACTCAACGTCTTTTCTGAAGCTCTCTGAAGTTTCTATGCATTTTTTTAACGGGCATCATTCCGTCATTCAGTGGAAAACTATTATTTTTCTCCTAAATCTGTGACTTTAATGTGAAAGTGAATTTCAAGTTTCTTCTTTCTTATTTATGATTTAATAATCTCAGAGAATGTCAGTGTTTAGTCTTTTTTAAGTCATGAATATTACCCTCCTACCCCTGGCTTCATTATTTATACATATATATATATATATATATATTATACCTACAGTAGCCTTAATACGCAGTTGTGTATATAAGATGCTAACAGTTAAATAAATCTGCTGGATTCTGCCCCCAGGTTCTCTCTCTGGGGGCAGATGTGCTGCCCGAGTACAAACTGCAGACCCCACGCATGGACAAGTGGACCATCCTTCACTACAGTCCCTTCAAAGCCGTGTGGGACTGGCTCATCCTGCTGCTGGTCATCTACACGGCCATCTTCACGCCCTACTCCGCCGCCTTCCTGCTCAACGACATCGAGGAGCAGATGCGGCGCGAGTGCGGCTACTCCTGCTCCCCCCTCAACGTGGTGGATCTGATCGTGGACATCATGTTCATCGTGGACATCCTCATAAACTTCAGAACCACGTACGTCAACGCCAACGAGGAGGTGGTCAGCCACCCGGCCAAGATCGCCATCCACTACTTCAAAGGCTGGTTCCTCATAGACATGGTGGCCGCCATCCCGTTCGACCTGCTCATCTTTGGCTCGGGATCCGACGAGGTGAGGGGGGGCGGCGGCGGCGGGGGGGTTGAGGGTTCAACAGTTGTTCAGTCGATCCTATTTAGTCATCCTGAGCTGTTTGGGTCACTGAAGCGATCGGACACCCGGCTGTCACATCGGCTTCCCGGCGCGTCTGGAAGGTCCCTCAGGGTGTCCCGACCGGTCAGAAGGTCTCCTGCTGGGGAGGAACGCTTCAGTCTCCACTGTGTCTTTCTGAGGGAGATGGTTGTCTAAAGCTCCGAGTGAGTAGTTCAGGCAGTGAGCACGTCCCTAGAAAGCTTCCTTTTCGTATCCAGAACCTGCACACGCACACACACACGCACACACGCGCACGCGGTTAACATCCCAGGTAGGTGTGCGTCCATGGGGCGAAGCTGCAGCGTCACTTCTCGGTTGTACAGCCGTATTGTGTGTCGCTTGCGGTGAGTGACGGGTGCAGAGACGCCAGCGGTGAGTGACGGGTGCAGAGACGCCAGCGGACAGCTGAGCGGCGCCGCGGCGCGATGCGCGTCCCTGTCACGCGGCTAGATGACAGAATGCGTGTTCCCGTTACAGCTCGTGTCAAAAGCACACAGTGGCGGGACGCTCGTATTTTTAGCTCCTTCAGATCACCAGCGGCAACCGAAAATAACGCGTCTGCGCACCGTTTTTAGCGACTTCGTCTTTAGGTTGTGTTATTTTAGCTCTTGGTGCGGCGGCTATATTTAGACACAATCCCGTGCGCCTTAGTTGCCTGGAAACCATCTCCGACCGCGTGGACGAGATTGCATTTCCTTTTTTTGCCGATTCCATTAGAAACCCGGCAGGCCCGCTCGCAGGGCCGGTGGAGATGTCCCGTGGGAGAGTTCTCCGTGCGCTCTGCAGGACGGAAAAACGTCCCGGTGTCAGATTTACATACCGGAGGCCTCCGGGCTCCTCTGTCATTTCCATACCATTGTCCTGTTGGGATAGATGGCAATATTTGCCTATTATGTCCGTGTTCACCTGTGCTTGGGTTCCATATTTGAGGTGGTTGCAAACTACGGTGGTTTATTGTGAAAATGTGCTCCACGTCTCCATCGAACCCAGAATTTCAATATTCAATTCCGGGCAGAGCAGAGTCAACAGCCTGAATGTGTCTTGGAGTAGCAGGGATCGTGCTTGATTTGGTGAAATCTTACAGTGCCGAGTCACAGATTAACGTAAACTTTAGTACACAATGTTCCGTTTGCGACGTCATTGATTTGCATTGAGTGGATCTTTACTTTGGGAAAGAGCCAGTTCTGCAAATAAATATTTGTTAGATCAAAGTGCAGCTCTTCTGTCTCCGTCTCTTGCAGTGGGCATTATTTTTCCCTTTTTATGAACACGCTGCGGCTCCGTTCTGTGCTGAGCGGACGAGTGAGAGGAGGCCGGTTCACGGTAACCAGCAGCCCCCTCAATCTGAATTCAGCCCTGGCGCTTTTCAAAAAGTTTGTACTCGTAGTTCCACACAGCTGGTTCTTTTTTTTTTCCCTCTTGTGAGATCAGATGAATAAAATGGCCCCGCGGTGCCGTGGTGGCAGACGGCCAGCTTTAGCCCCCAAACGCCCCCCGACCCACTGCGAGCCCGGATCTCAATCAGACGCCTCGGCCCGAGTCGGGCGGCACTTCACCTGAGGCCGACGATGGATAATTCAGAGCTCTTCTGTTCCGACGTATGACTCATGCGCCGCTCGCTCAGTCCTCGGCAGGAAGGGGAGACGGGGGGGGGGGGGGCGGCGGTGATTTTGGGGCAGAGACGGAGGCTCGTTACTCTCACTCCAGTGACCTTGTGATTTTTAAATGAAGCGTTTTTGCGTGAACGTCTGTAATGTGCAGCCTGTTGTCTCGCGTTCCGACCGGCTGGTGTTTTATGCTTCGGTTTTCTCGTCCTAGACCACCACTCTGATCGGCCTGCTGAAGACCGCCCGCCTGCTGCGGCTGGTCAGGGTCGCCCGTAAGCTGGACCGCTACTCTGAGTACGGCGCCGCCGTCCTCATGCTGCTCATGTGCATCTTCGCCCTCATCGCCCATTGGCTGGCGTGCATCTGGTACGCCATCGGCAACGTGGAGAAGCCTTACCTGGAGCATAAGATAGGCTGGCTGGACAACCTGGGGGTGTCGATAGGTGATCATCGGTGTTTCAAAGTAAGACGAAGGGTCACCGTTGCCGTTTGTATGTACTTAACTTCCCCCTTTTCATGGGTCGTAGGAAAGAAGTACAACTACAGCGACCCCAGCTCAGGCCCCTCCATCAAAGACAAGTACGTCACGGCGCTCTACTTCACCTTCAGCAGTCTGACCAGCGTGGGCTTTGGGAACGTGTCCCCCAACACCAACTCTGAGAAGATCTTCTCCATCTGCGTCATGCTCATTGGATGTGAGTGACGGCTGACTCACAGAACATCTCAGGTTTTAATAGATTGAGTGTGATCAGGGCTGCGTTCACAGTGTTTCATGTTACCAAAGACACTGGTTTATGACAGTAAGGTCGGCGGTTGCTTGAGGAAAGGTCACGTGGTAGCAGCAGCTGAGGGGGGGGCTTTTGTGTGGATACCGTGGCATGAGCGCTACGACTTCTCTCCCAGCTCTGATGTACGCCAGCATCTTCGGGAACGTGTCGGCCATCATCCAGCGGTTGTACTCGGGCACCGCCAGGTACCACCTCCAGATGCTGCGGGTCAAAGAGTTCATCCGCTTCCACCAGATCCCCAACCCGCTGAGGCAGAGGCTGGAGGAGTACTTCCAGCACGCCTGGACGTACACCAACGGCATCGACATGAACATGGTACGACAACGGCGGTGTGTGTGTGTGTGTGTGTGTGTGCTGTGCTGCTGCTGCTTTTTCTCAAATCTTGACTTTCAACTTTGCTGTGTAACCACATCGTGTCCCCAGCAAAGTGAAACCGAGGCGGCGAGCCGTTGCTGATGCATATTGTAACTCTCATCATGACACTTCCTGTTCACGGTACTTATTTAAGCTTGTCTCTTCCATGTCTGCCTCTTGTCAAATGGAATGACCCCGCCACTCTGGTAAGAGCAGGAGGTACATGTGTTAACGAAAGGAATGTGGATGTGAATGATCGTCGGTGGTAGAAACTAGCCGTGTTTGATCCCAGTAGGCGAAAGTTACTTCTTTGGAGTGGCGTGTCGTTTTTTTGCACAGAGAATAACAGACGGCGTTACGCTGTTTTAGTCATGTCCCCGAACATGCATGTCGATGTTCCTTGGCTGTGCCACCCGCTGCAAGCGGTCGCAGTATCCACTCCACCGGCCGCTTCCAGGGATGGTTGTGATGTTTTGAAGCGAAGGTTGTATGAGGTGCTAATCCACAGTCGGTGTGTTTACTACGTGGTCCCCCCCCACCCTCCTAACACCACCCCGCTGGGGGGTAACGACACTTGAACAGAGCAATGGGCTGCAGGGGAAAGAGGCAGCAAAATCTGTGTACGCTGTGTTTATATTTCCACTGCTTTATTTCGCCATCAGACGGAGAACTGAAACTATAATCGCTGCTTTCTTTAACGCTAGCAAACAGCCTTTCAGCCTCACGCAGAATGCCGCGTGTCGACTTCTGCCGCGGTGGGTTTGTTTCTTTCTGTCGTCGTGTGAATCCAAACTAACCCTTTAAGACGCCAAAGTGATGCAACAACGGGCGAAAAATAAACGGTAACCCGGCAACCAGTGAGGTGACGTTCTGCTGTCGCTGGCCAAGGAAATCAGTGGAATGATGCAGATGTTTTTATGTGCGTATTTGAAATGTAGTTGTGTTGCAGGCCCCCGTCCACAGCAGCACGTTGCTTTGGTCCCGCGGCCCCCCAACCCCCCCCCCCTGTCGGTTTCGATGGCGCACACAGACTGTGGATAAAAACCTTTACGACCCCCTTCAACGCGTTCACTGCCTTCAATCAATGACTCTGCTTATTGAAACTCGACAATCCCCCCCCCCGCTACTGTTTTACAGAAAGAAAGAGGAATGAATGGGACTGCCCCCCCCCCCCCCCCACTGTGGGAGGCCTGGCTACATGTTGTGTGGTGGCACCTGCGCTTGCCAGATGTTGTTCAGTCTTTCCTTTCCAAATCTACCGATGACTTTTCGTTATGAGCAACACAAAGATAATTAATGAAACAGCCAGAGCCCAGATGGGGCCACATTGTACTTTTGGTCGTGCTCGTGTCTTTAGCTCATCGTATCCGATGTGCAGATGACCAGGAAGAATAAGAAATGTCTTTTGTTTCAACTGTCCTTTATGTGTCCTTGAAGCCCCCTGTGTCCTCACCTCTCAGTGTCTGTTATCGTGTTGCAGCCTGAAAAGGAAACGTGGTGCTTTTCAGTCAGTTCATGTTGTCCGGGGATCATTAGCTGTTTTGTCACCGTATCTTTGTCTATGAAGGGTAAGTGTACAATAAGTATTTTATTCATCAGAAGGAGCGTCCTCTAAAAACTGTTTATAGGAAATTGATGTTTAAATGACTTTTCAAAATATCTAAGTTTCACCATTCAATGCTTATTTATTTCTACTTTCTTTTACTGTGTAGCAGACGATAGTCATGGTTCCATCTCGGGACATAAAGGCAGCGAAACTCTTTCAAAAACTCAACATGTGCTAAAGTACGTGACTCTGTGCTGTCATTTATCTGCAGCGTCTCAGTCTCTAAACGTTCTGTCTGTTGCCTTAACGGCTCCGTGCAACAGTCTGTTGAAAGACATCGCCGGGTACGATGGGTTTTGAGAAGAAGGAAAGAACCACAAGTGGCAATTGTATCAAATTTCTCGGGGGGGAGGGGATTGGCCTTCAACTTCACCCCAAACCAACATATGCTGAGCCCCTGCACGCCACGGCCCCGGTAGCCTTCAGAGACCCGCGTGTAACCTCTGCCGCTTTGACCCGTGTTTTTGCACTCAGGTCCTTAAGGGTTTCCCAGAGTGCCTGCAGGCCGATATCTGCCTCCACCTCAACCAAACCCTCCTCCAGGGCTGCAAGGCATTTGAAGGAGCCACCAAGGGCTGCCTCCGGGCGCTGGCCATGAGGTTCAAGACCACCCACGCGCCCCCCGGGGACACCCTGGTCCACGGCGGAGACGTGCTCACCGCGCTCTACTTCGTGTCCCGCGGCTCCATCGAAATCCTCAAAGAAGACATCGTGGTGGCCATCCTCGGTGAGTCCGTGAGAAGCTCGACGCGAGCCGCTCGTCTGCATGCGCGGGGACAGATTCCGGCCCGTCTGCATGCGCGGGGACAGATTCCGGCCCGTCTGCGTGCGCGGGGACAGATTCCTGCCCATCTGCGTGCGCGGGGACAGATTCCCGCCCGTCTGCGTGCGCGGGGACAGATTCCCGCCCGTCTGCGTGCGCGGGGACAGATTCCTGCCCGTCTGCATGCGCGGGGACAGATTCCGGCTCTGTCCGTCCGGTAGATCCTGAGCTGGAGCTGATGTGGCCTCCAAAGCTCAGTCATATCTTTATTTGAATATTTCCGCCCAGACTTTCTGAAAGGCGCTAAGCGCTTCTGTTATTCAAGGACAATTGGTGTCATTAAGTAACACCGGGAGGCACCGCGCTCTGAGCTTGTAACAAACTGCACACGGGCGTCTGAGAGGCAGTTTGTGTGCCTGTTGGATCCCGGTCTGAGGGTTGGACGCCTCGCGCAGTACACAGGAACATGTCAGAGTACGTAGAAAGGCAGCCATGGTGCCTGGATTCCCCTTAGTGGGCGCCGGGGGGGGGTGACTTAATGAAGATGGCACCGTCATGCTGTGATGTGCCTTGTTTGGCAGCGATAATCTCTGTTGGGCACAACTTACTTCAAAGCACACTGCCATTACTGTCCCGCCTGTGAGGAAGACGAGGGGAACGAGAAGGAGAAAAGCAGCCTGACTGCTTTCAAACGGGGGGGGCGGGAGAAAGGAGAAGTTTGTTAGACTTGGAGACCGTATTAATGTGAAGTAGTATTTATTGTAATGAAAAACATTTATTTAGATTCTGTAAAAATGTGTCGATAAAGAGATAAAGATAGATTCGATAAAATTGTTTGGCTTAATTTTCATAATAAAATAGTTTAATTGGATTTCAATAACTTGGACTGAATGTCGTACCATACTTGGATTTTCTCATACATTTTGTATTACATACTACATACGCATTATTATATTATTATTATTATTACATTCTCTATACTATTCATGTCCTACTGTGATTTTCAAAAGGACTTTCCATTTTCTATTTACGTACACTTTTCACAAACAAATTCAGCTAAATTTCTGAATAAAAATCCCATTGAATTGTAGTGATAAAAAAAGGTTATAAATATTCATGCAAATCTTTAAGCGGATTCATAATCTGCGTCACGTGTGGCTTCTTTGTGCGGACGGACAGACTCTGTGCGTCCTTTCATTTAGACGACTGCGCTTCAGCCTCCTCAGCCCCCCCCCATAGGTCATCACGTGCTGGAAGCGGTCAGCTAACATGTGCCGGTCGCCTCTGTCCGATGGCTGCAGGTAAGAACGACATCTTCGGCGAGATGATCCACCTGTTCACCAAGCCGGGGAAGTCGTCTGCGGACGTGCGCGCGCTGAGCTACTGCGACCTGCACACCATCCAGAGGGAGGAGATCCTGGAGGTGCTGGACATGTACCCGGAGTTCGCCGACCACTTCCTCACCAACCTGGAGCTGACCTTTGACCTCCGAGATGAGAAGGTAAGCGGCAGGCGTTGATGTGAAGTCCGTCTTAATAATTGTGCTCGGCGCGTAGAATTGTTCACGTCCATTTCAGGTGAATTATTGTCTGTTGTTCATTATCTTTGGGGGGCCGGGGGGGCCAAGAAAGACCTTGCCCTTTGCTGTGCGGATGCCTGAGGGAACGCGTGCAGGCTGTAATTCTGATGATCCGCGCGTTGTGGAAAGATGTGAAACGCCTGCGTCACGACGCGAACAAGAGACCACGTTTGTCACTCGTTCAATTAGCGCTTGGACCACTTTGTTGGCCTCCTGTCATTAATTCAGAAAGTTGCAAAGATGAGAAGAGACACGAGAACATTATTACAATAATCACCCATTGTCCTTTCACAGGCGACAGATTCCAACATGGACGACATGGAGGGTCGTAGACGGGCGTCCCACAAAAGGAAGTCCTCCGCAGGTCAGAACGAGACGCAGATCACACAATCGTGTTTGTTTGATTTGATTATAGACCCCACTCACTGTTCCCGTACTGAAGAGCATAAAAACACCTCGAGTTTACCCGTCTTTAGTTTCCAGGTTCTCTAGACTTCAATGCATCAACAAATAGCGCTAAACGGTCCGATTCATATTCACAATGTAACATTTGTACGGTTTTATGATGAACACCAAACACACATGGGAAAAATGTCCTTCTGAAAACTTTTTAGGGGATAAATGAGAAATTCACCTGGTTTATGGGACGAGTTGCTCCTTAAGTACCTGTTTGTGTGCGTAACAGACACTGATCTTTCCAGCATTTATTTGGTCCTGCAGAAAACAGACGTTGCCTTCTGACCGGATACAAATTAAACAACGACCAAACGTATACTTTTAACGTCTAAAATAATGACGCACCACTGCTGAGTACTGTGATTATGTTACTCACAGTAACGGTCGCTGATACGAACAATTTTAAAGAACTTAGTGAGACATCAACTTCCCTTCAGAGTGACGCTGCTGTGAAGGAAAAAGGCGAGAGATGAAGAAATGAACTTCTGCAGATTTAAAATTCACACACGCTCACTCAATAAGATCCGATACATTGAAAATGACAGTATTTCTAACTCCGTTACATGTGCGCATTAGGAAATTGTGTTTATTTTCAGGAAATTTGCCCCATTAAGAAAAACCCTCAAGGCTCCTTGAGAACGCGTCAGATTTCTGAACAATCGATCTGTTAAATACAGACTTCTCACAAAAAGCCGCCTTCTGCACCGTTCAGTTACACAACAGGTAAACGCATCAGTATTACAGGGGACGTGTATTGCTGAATATGTGTTTGACAGGAACTGTGGAAACCTTTTGTCACTTGACTTGTAACCGCCAGGAGAGCTGCGACTCGGCAGTTTGCCTTCGATTCTGGCGAATCGAAGTGTGTCGCCATGGTTACAGGAATACAGCATCACCATCTCCCGATATAACCCACCAGCGAGGACACAGAATGTACGGAACAATCCCGCAGCCCCCGTCCACCGGGTGTGAGGGTATACGTCTCCGGCTGTGACCACGTGACCGGACGCGTCTCGCGTAGATTAATCGGACGCTTGAGGACTGTTTGTCCTCGGACCAAAGCCAGGCGCAGGCCGGCTACCTGTTGTCAAACTAATGACGTCCCCGGAGGACGCCGAGGGCGGCAGACTTCCTGATCGCCCGTCTCTCCCCGCAGGCTCCCACAACAAGGAGCCGGCGGCCGCCTGCTGCGGCGCCAAGCAAGGGAGGTGCGGCGAGGGGGCGAGGGACTCCGCCGAGCGTGGGGGCGGCGAAGCAGCCGAGGAGGAGGAGGAGGAGCAACGGCCCCTGTGTGCCGGAGTGCTGGGCTACCCGGTGGTGAGGGACCACGGCGCGCAGGCTGGAGACGACGCGCACAACCAGAAGTATCGAGGTCTGTTGTTAACAACATTTATTCCTCTATTTATGTATTTTTAAAACAATCAAATATCCCAGAGGAACCAGTTGGAATTCTGTCTTTGTGTGCCGACCCCCCCCTCGTTTGAATGGACTCCATCCCCGTATCTGCAGGCTTGTCCTCTAAAGTTGAACTCCAGAATGGTAATTGGCTCACAAGTTAATTTCGAAAAAGGCCCCAAATCCCTAAATCCCAGAGGAGGAATGTCACACCTATTAAAACCTCCCAAACAGGGATTATGTGTATTAATGGTGAAACCTAAAGCCCACTCAGTAATAAAACGTAAGAGGATTATATCCAGTGGGCCGGGGGGGGGGGGGTCACCCCTATGGATCGTAGGTCATATCCAAATCCAGTATTCATAGGACACATTAGGGAAATGATTTGGTGGACATTACTGTCCGGTCCAAATGAAATCTTAAGAAATGTAACGACTAAATGACTGAAAATGGAAGACAAAGCAAGTCGAGGTGGTTATGAAAAGCCTCACGCATGGATCCACACCAGGGATGGAGATCCCCGACAAGCTGTGTGAGGAATTATTCACACACACACACACACGAAGCTGCGGGACTTCCCTGTGTTCCAACTGCCAACTCGTGGGGTTCGACGCCCACGCGGCTGATTTGATGTTATTCCATAATTCTGCTCGTTGCAGCCAAAAGGGGATTTTTACTTAAGTAGAACATATGGTGATGTTGATTCCCATCAACACCACATGACGAGCTAATCTCCAGCTATCACTTTTTAAACATACATTTGACCATTCGTACCGTGTATTACAATTTAGTGTAGTCAAATTTGCTAAATACAGCAGGAAGATGGATAATAATTCCTGACATGACTGATACATCTGTGACAGAGATAAATGTATTTTAGAATCTCTCAGAATTTTCATATTTATAGTAAATCTTTGGTTTACACATTTACCACTTCAAGGCTTTTCCCTTGTTCCGATCCCCCCCAGCCTGGGTCACATGTGCGTCTCCATCTGCAGGATAGATGTTCGCATTCAGCAGCGGTGAGCTGATCAGCTAAATGACCGTGGAGCGAGAGGAGAAGATGCTTCCCCAGGGGCTCAGTCCTCAGACCACACATCGTTAACTGTCTGTGTGTGTGTGTGTGTGTGTGCGCGCTCACGTGCCTCCCTCCAGAGCTCCGGGCAGACGAGTGGGGGCGCCAGCGCCCCGGCGAGGGCGCGGAGGAGTCGGCCCGGTGTCGAGGGACGCCAGCCGGGGAGGACGACAGCGACGCGGACCTCACCTACGGGGAGGTGGAGCAACGCCTGGACCTGCTGCAGCAGCACCTCAACAGGTAAAAGCTCCCATACGCCCTCCAGCTGAGCGAGTACACGCGTGTGCAGCCTGCTGTGTGCAGTCAGTAGTCAGATTGTTTCCTCTTTTAAAGTGGCCAGTTAGTCACACCTGACTCCCTGATGGAGCTGATGGGCAGTGGGTGAGGTGCATTGTGGGTAATATAGGTTCCAGGTTTCAAAACGCAGGACTTTGACTGGTTTGGCTGCTTGAATTCAGACTTTTTTTCACCATCAAGTAGTGAGAATAAAATGAATGAACAGATCTTTTTGTTCTCACATGTTGTGGGTCTGTTAGGAATTAGTCTTGTCATATAAAAGACGCTTGGCTGTCGTCATTTGAACAAAGTCATCTTTCAGAGCCCCCCCCCCCCCCCCCCCACCCTTTGAATCTGACTGGAATTAGCAGAAAACACATTTGCACAGAGACATTTTGTGCCAGACACCCATGTGAGCGGCTCGGGTGATTCTGGGCTGATGCACCGATCCAGATGGGGGGGCGTGTCTATTTATAGCGCGCGGCCACGAGACGCAGACTGCTGACGTCATCCTGTGAGGTTGGGACGACGGGGGTCGTGGAGAAGTTGGTCCCATAGGGGGGGGCGTGGGGGTCAAAGACGAATGGCTCAGTCTGCTTCACTCTGAGGGCAAAATGAAGAGCTATTTAGTGAAACGCTCCCGCAGGCGGAGCTCTGTACATTAGATGATCGTGGTGGGCAGATGGGGGGGGTGACGTGTAAAGGTTTGAGGCCTGGACGAGCGCAGGGAAGTTCTGCTTCGTGGCCCCGTTCCTTTTTGTCGACGGACTGAAGAAACGTGTGGGAGGAGAGAAGAGGCGCTGCAGCATGGAGACCCTCTATGCTGCCATGATGTAACTTGCTGCACTGGGTGATGACACACACACACACACACACACACACACACACACACACACACACCTGTGTGGTACCTGCTGCAGGCTGCCTATCAAAGCCCTTTCTTCACGGCGCTTGTGAGCATTTCCCTGTTCAATGGATGAATACTTTATCATTCTAATCTTCTGCTGTCACATTAAAACAGCAACCAAGATGTATTTTGTTTTAAAGTTTTTAAATATATGATGTATATATTTGATAGCTATAGTTGCTGCTTAAATTGGCCATTTTAACATCAGCCAAGTCAATAAAAGATAATTTACTGCAAAAATGCACTACATACGAACAGAACTGTAAGGTGGAGCCCCCCCTAGTGTTTGCTATTGGATATAAATCGTCCCATACGGGGGGGTTTGGAACATTTACACACTTTTTTTTGCCTTTCCCCGGAGAGAAATGTGTGGATTTTTGTAACGTTTCATTCCTTGTCCCGCCCATCAGACTGGAGTCCCAGATGACCTCAGACATCCAGGCCATCCTGCAGCTCCTCCAGAGGCAGACCACGTCTGGCCCCCCCGCCTACAGCACCGTCACCTCCAGCCCGGAGTACCAGAGGCCGGCCATCCGGGTGCAGCCGCTGTCCGCCGCCCAGACAGAGCTCCGCCTCGACGCCGCTCCTCCTCGGCCAAAGGTACACCGCCCACTGCGCTGTCTGCAGGCCCGTCAAAAACAGATGAATCACGCCTCATCATGCAGAGGTAGAAAGGGCCCAGAAAAGCTGTGCAGGAGGACCAGGAGGCGTTGGTGAGCCTGGAGACTCAGCCTGGGTGCTGGCGTCTTCCAGTGGGGGCTGTAATAATAATAATGCCTCATTTGTTTCCATGTCCCCTGCTGCTCACTGTCCTTTGTCTTCTTCAGAGCTCGGGCCCAGATAAGTCCCTCGACAAATCCAAAGAGCCCCCAGCCCCCCGGCGCACCGAGGTGGAAGCGCCCGAGGGCGACGGGGCGCACACGCCCAACGGGGTGGACTCTGTGGAGCGCCGGCGCCCCCAGCAGTCGCCGTCGGGCCGACAGGCCTCGCTGCCCGACGCCGCCGGCAGCTCAGGAATGTCTGGACTCCGCAGGCCGGTATCTGACCCGTGGCTCCCGGGGAAGTAGGGCCCCTCCTCTGAGGGTCTTCTTTTTAAGCTCGACTCAGGGTCTAAGGAAGAGGCTGAATATGCAAAGGAAAAGTAATTGTGGACTTTCTTCCATTCCTTTTCGGATATATTCTCCCAACTTTCGCCTCCTCCCTCCCCGACTTAGATGTATAAAGTTCATTTATACAGAGGTATTTATACACTATATTATTACCGCGTGTGGAGTCGTCGTCGACCGTGTACATACAGCCAGCAACACGAGGGACCCGCTGTTTCTATTATGCATGTTTTGGTTTTCTTTCTGATCGCATGTCACACAGTATGACACCTTAAGTGTGATCTCGGCATGTGTACGGACTACTGTAGCTATCAAATCTCTTTTCTATGACCCCCCCTCTCCACATGGGGGCAAAGCTACTTGAAACTCTGAGGCATTTGTAGATCCCACGCGACGGCTTTGAGGTTCATCTTTTATCGGTCGGGAGATGTGTGTGTATTTAGCACGTCCTCTGTCACACAACTCGCTCCTTATTCAGTTCGATACAACACGGTAATAATAATGCGTGAACATTTGTCATTCTGTGAGAGCAATAATGATGAGCCAGTACAGGAAGTTGGAGCGTTTCTAAAGTTTAAACCACTGTGGGGATGATTTTATACAATCTGAACAAAGAGCGTCTTTAACAGCACCAACGCTGTAGTTTATAGTAGAGCTGAATCCTCCTGATGACAGAATGGTAAGTGTACTTGGCTTTCTGCCCTCTAGATGGAAAATCTCTGAATCGCATCTATTGAGTATCTTCGATAGAATGTAATATCAAGTTGTAGGGCTGCGTGGTACATCGGTTTCAAATGTCCTTAAGATATTTTTTCACACCGTCTAACCGTTGCCGTAGCGACTGTCGCTCCTTATCAGGCAGATGTTGTGCTGCGGTTGGAGCTGCTTGTGTTGCGATGGAGTTGTGGTTATAGCTTTATAACAATTAACAGACAACCAGTTTTTTGGTTTTGAAAAATTCCCATACAATGCGTTAAACCACCGTTCAGTAACTTTGCACTAGTGATCTTAAGATCTGCATTTGCTATTAACTCTCAAAGATACAGCAGTGTAAGTAGCATGTAAGGTCCGACTTTTTTTTCTTCGTTCTGTCGTAGAAATAAAAAACCCAAACCGACGCCCCTTACCACATCCTGAGCCTTCGTAGTCCTTGGTTGCATGCTTTAGGTCTTCCAGTCTTCTTAAAAGCAACTATTTTGTAAATTGAAAAAAAAAAAATCCCTTTTCCACGAAATGGATCAAGCTCCGCCTCCAATAGCCTTTAGCCTTATTCTGCTTTCAACACCGTTGCATGTAAACGTGGTGCACGACGGGTATTAATTTGCCATTTTACTTTTCTAAAGTCCCACAGAAGCTCACGTATTGCATGGAGGCCACACTCTACTAGAACAAGGAACAAAAGGGTCGGCGTGTCCATTCCGCCCTGTATTTTTCGATGACACCCCCTTGATGTTAGTTAGAATGCGACGCATGGCCTCCCGATATAGCAAGCGGAGACTGAGCTCCATGTACCGTACATAGCTTGTCTCCAATGTTGCACACATTTTGTTTTCATAATCATCTCTGCATTAACTTCCCAACACTTTACTGCCATCAGAGATGGAGAAAGTCAAAGGATTTAAGCGGAGAACCTTTACAGGAAGAAGATGGGAGTGTTTTCCTCTAAGCTTTCTTTTTCCTCGAGCACAGATGTAGAACAAAAGTTGCCGAAACTTCCATGGGATTTGCGAACTTTTGCACAGATTAGAAAAACTTGCTGTACATGTCACTTTTTGAAATCTCGTTCACAATTGTTTTTATGCATTTTTTTTTAAATGTTTGCCACTGTATTTTATAAAAATGCAACACTTAACAGCTGAATTGAATGTTTCTGACTATATTTAAAGAAAATGTATTGTGTAAATAGACTGGGGGTGGAGCGCAATTGTATAAACAGAATGCATACTGATTAAAAAGTGTTTATTGTGAGTAACAAAATGTGATCTTCACTACAAACAAATCATGGCTGTGTTTACTGAAACAAAATGCCAGCCATGTTAACATGTGTATCGGCTCAGTCACTTTGGCTTGTTAAGCGTTTATGGCATAAAAGAAATACAACATTAGCTTTGACTAAAGTCGTAACAGTACGAAGTTCAGTGTAAAAGGAACTAAAGTTCTACTACCGGGTTTTAATATATTAGACCGTACATTCAGAGATTATAACGGCACAGTCGGTCTCACAGCAGCGCTTCACCAAAAATGAGACCCAATGCATAATATTCAAACCAGGATATATAAACCAGTTGATTCCCTTTTCTCTCAAACCAACTCTTTAAATGTTTACCACATTATTTGACATCTTTAATTTTCTAATCCTACACATGTGGGCTTTATAAAAAAATGTGTATTTAATCCCAAGTAATATATATATATATCTTTCGTGCGACAAACAAGACTAAAGCGTTACAAGCAATGGGTACTTTCCTGGTGCCGCTCAGTCAAACATACTGGCTTTCTGTGAGGCGGCGGCCCTGAATTGGCCGGTGATGGTTGCCAACACGTGGCAGACACTAGATGGCCATCGTGCACAGGATGAACTGTGGAGACAAAGAGAGGCTCGGCTCAGCAGGTAAACTTCCTTTCAATCAGGTGAAATCAGGCACGTACACGATAATTATTACAGTAGTGGCCCTTTCTGATGTGGTAGACCAGCAATTTCTACATAAAAGGTCAAATGACTGCTTTTATTCATCTAGTCTGGTGGCTTTGAAGAGATCACACAAGTTGATTGTTTCCAAATACCTGCACAGCGCTACACTGCTATGAGAGAATCGATTCTTGTAAAAAGCCCTCAGAAAGAGGAGGTGGAGCACAAAAGCGAAACTCACGTCGTCGTACTGGAAGGTGACAGATCCCTGGTGCATGGCGTCTCTCCGTCTGAAGTTCTCTGCAACAGGAAGAGCAACCCGTCACAATAAAGCTCACTTCACAGGTGGGTCCCGGGCTTTCCTACCTGTGAGAGCTCGCAGCTTGACGCAGCACGCCACGTAGTCGTCAAAGAAGATCCGCCCTCCTTTGTTGTAGCGCTTGATGATTGCATTCAGGGCCTGAGGGCTGACGCGGTAGCCTGAGGGGTTCATCGGACAATAAAAGGGTTATTAGACACTGAGGTGGTTCAAATCTGCTTTGGGGGGGAGAGAATGTCACGGCAGCTGTACCATCTTACATTACATTCATTGTCACTGAGTTACGAGGTGCATCCTGCAGACTGACCACTTGAGAACCACTGCTCTAGATCATATATAAATACATATACTAGTGGTTCATTTCCTGCATTAAAACAGCCGTTAATAAAAAAATGTCATTGCTGCTTTGCGACTAGTTTTTTAAAATGTTGCCAATATATATATATAACGGTTTTGTTCACGTGTCAGTCTGGTTGATTGTCTTACAGCCAGATTTTAAACTGAAACGTCTAGGTCACAATTACGGTTTTCTTTAAATTCGGTTAGGTTATATGACATTATCAGAAATATATATATATATATATAAATAAAAGCGCAAATTGTCACAAGATTAAAATAACGTCAAACACTTTTTTTTAGATTGGTCATTTGTTTTGTCTTAAAAATTAACTGAGATGCAATAGAAGCAAATAGGTTGCTCATATTTCTAGATCCACATAATTTCTCTTCTTATAAAAGGGTCTATTAGGAAGAAAAGATAGAAGAACGAGGAATACAGAGTTTATGTGGTCACCAGATCGAAGACACCAATTAGTAGTAATTGAAACAGAACCGCCTAAATGTGTGTGACTCTTCCAAAGAGACAATGAACCAGGAAGTGAAATTAAGGCGGGGCTGAAGGCAGACCGCTCTCACAGACTGACTCGCCTGCATTAGGTCTAATTGTGCATGTCACTAAACACTGATCACCATTAGGCGAGTCTTCACCCTGAAACGCACACGGCGAGGACGCTCACCCATGGCGTTGATGGCCTGAGTCATCTCGTGAGGCTCCACCGTCCCGCTGCGGTCCTGGTCGAACATCATGAAGTTCTGCTTCCAGCCGTTAAGCGCTGTGAAGAGCTCCTTGAACTCGGTGAAGCCCATCTTCCCCGTGAAGTCCCTCTGGAGGCGCTCGGGTTAAGACGCAGTAACAGCTTGTTTTTTAACACGTCACTAGGCGGAAACATGCAGCCACAGGGGACAACAGGGACCAATCAGACAGACGTAATGTCAGGAAAGGATACGTCGAGCATGGCGATCATGATCCTGCACGTCTCCAGGCTGAACGCTGTGAACAGAAAAGGCACACGTGGGGTCAGTGTGGTCCAACTCGAGGCCAGAGCAGACGAACCGGGTCCTGCTCTAAAGAGAGAGCCTCCTTAACACAGGTGAAGGGAGGAGCATCGGGTTGGTCGCAATTCGTCCCCTCACCACCACACGCCATCAAATCCTACACGCTGCCCCTTTAAGAGCTCTGATTGGCTAGTCTCAATCCTCAAGCCTCGGTTTGATACGACTAGAAGTAGCAGTGTCAACACCATGTGGGACTTGTTGAGATATTTTATAAACCATCTAAAGCTCAGGAATTAACTTACGAGAGTAACCGCCGGTGAAACCAGACTGGGTCAGACACCTCTGGAGCTCCTCTGCGTCGATCTCCCCGTCCTGTGAAGAGCATGAAGGGAGGTTTTACAGTACCGACATAGAACGCTCCGAGCGAGCTGTGCTGTAAACATGGAACTTTTCCTGGGGCATGAAACGGCAACTAGAAAATGCATTTCCTGCTGAATGCTAAAAGCTGAAATGAATATTCATATCAGAATATTGCAGAAACTTTTAATACATATGCTGAAATTAGATATTAGAAAAGCTGAAATTAATTTGAAAAATTGCAAAAAATGCAGAAATGAATATTAAAACATTGCTGTTAATACAGGCATAAAAAAAGCTGAAATTATTTTAAACTGCTGAAAATACAGAAAGGGGGAAACTGAATTTCAATAGATTTTCTAAAAAATACAGAAATAAAAGCTGAGATGAATAAAGAGGTTTTTAATTGTTTGTAGCAATATTCGTTATAGTTGTAATTGTGGTATTAGTAGTACTAGAAGTAGTAATAGTAGGTTTAGTATCAATAGCAGTAGAAACAGCTGTAATACTAATACTATTTTCTTCCCTTTTTTCCCTCTTGGAAGGGTTTTTTCATTTTTTGGGGAGTTGTTCCTGTGCCGATGGTGGGTCGGCACAGGAACATCCTCTGTCCCGAAGACAGAGGATGTTGTATGTGTACAGACTGTAAAGCCCTCTGAGGCAAGTTTGTAATTGGGCTATACAAAATAAAATGAATTGAATTGAATTATTAGTCATAGTATTATTTGTAGTAACATTAGTAGTAATTGTATTAATACAGTAGAAATACTAGTAGTACTTGTAGAAGCCATTCCACTACATTTGTATTGTGCATAATGAAACTGCCTTTTCTGTTGATTTGTTTGTGATGATGTAATGATGACATCAGGGGGCGTCGGCTATTTAAATGTCACCTGAGTAAGGCCAGGTGTGTTTTCTATTTTGAGAGCGGAAGGAGATACTATTTTTGACCGCATTACGCATTGAATTCTCCGTTTATTATGAGTGTGCCAAACAATGAATAAAAGAATATTGAAGTGACAATACGAGCAAATGCGCGTTGATTTTACCGACCGCTCCTACATCAAGTCAAAAATAACTCATCCGAACGCGAGGAAGGAACGCCAGGCAAGGTGGAAGTGAGCGAAGCTGTCCCCGAGTCACGTCGTCTTGGATCGATCTGGACTGCGTCCAGAATCCGGACGAGCGTATGCGCTGTTTTCCGAACCTGGTTACGATCAAACATTAAAACCGACAGAAGGAACCAAAGGAAACGTTCGATAACAAATAAATCCATAGAATGCCTATAAATTACGAGATCACTTAAAGACAAACAAACAAAGCACGGCCGCGCGCACGAAAAAGTAAAATTAAATAAAGACGTAACTGAAACACTAATGAATATTGACAGCTGACGCTGAAAACTGAAATAATGGCAGAAGGATCTGAGCGGGGAGTCACGGAAGCCGGTATGAGTGAGACGGATACGGCGCAACAAAATAAAGCGTTTAAATCATTGAGCGCCACACGTAGAGGAAAACTCTCCCACTGTACTCGGAAAATGAATGAAATAAAATGAATGATGAAAGAAGGTGCCGATGTTCATAATGTTAATGTGAATTTTTAAGACTGCTGGAGGAATTTAAATTGTGTCATGAATCTGTTCAGATTCTGCTGCCTGAGGAAGCGAGAAGGAATGAAAGTTTGCACTGGTATGAGCCAAAAATCGCAGATTATGACGTTTTTCTGACTGATGTGGATCAATGGAAAAGGGCTCAGGCCGACCCACATACTCTGGTGGATGTTGGGGACAGTGTCTCACAGACTGGCTCACGACGCTCCAGAGGTTCCAATTCTTCATCTATGGTTTCAGCACGCATGAAGATAGCTGCAGACAAAGCTGCTCTGCAGGCCAGAGCTAAAGCTCTGAAAAGGAAACACGAACTGGAAAAGGAAAAGCTTGAGCTGGGGTTAAAAATGGAATCCCTGGATCTGGAAGCAGATATTGCTGCAGCTGATGCAAGGTTAAAGGCTCTAGAACAGGGGTCTTGGGACGATATTTTGTGGCCCCCGCCTTCATATGAAAGTGTAATGTTAGTGCGGCCCGCGAGTTCTATATTGTAGCAACCTCGCTGTTAGCAGCCACTTACAACCTCCACCCCAGCGCCGACCGTTCCGTTCGCCGGTCGGACCGTCAGTGTCATCCCCCCCGTCGGCCATAATGGTCTGGCCCGCGTTCGGTCGAGGTGGGCTGCATCTGGCCCGTACCTGACTTGAGTTTGAGACCCCTGATCTAAAGGGTGTTTCTCCCACCGAGAAGCCGCCCAAAGGCAGACATTTAACTGATAGCTTAACGGGTGTGAAGGGCTTTGGCATGGGAGAAACAGGAACATTCGTTCCTCTTCTTATAAAACTTTTCCCTGTTTAGTCTATGAAAATCATCTACAAGGCGATGATCAGTGGTAACTTAGTACGCAGTCTCTTGGTTTGTAACGTCAAACCATAAGTAAAAAGCTTTTGGTGGCAGCTGTTTCAGCTCTTGTGCCTCATCACGTTGCTCTGGTGAGCAGATGTGATCGTTTGGCAGCGCAGTAAAATGTCTCTTTGTAAAAACACAGTGTCAGTAACATGCTCGCTGTTGGTGCTAACCACTCAAACACAACCACATCAGCAGCAGCTACGTGCCAGACGTTTAGAGCGCGGCCACTGGTTTCACCTCCGGGGTCAACGGGACCGTGCGCCGTTGTGTGCAAACTTTAACGAGCCTCTGCGCCTTCGCTCCCAGGCTCTGCTGCAGACCCACGATGTGGTCGCCCACGAGGTCTACAGCGACGACGCGCTGCGGGTGACCCCCCCGCCCACCTCCCCGTACCTGCACGGAGACTCCCCGGACAGCACCAACGGAGACATGGACCTGGAGAACGTCACCAGGGTGCGCCTGGTCCAGTTTCAGAAGAACACCGATGAGCCCATGGTGTGTGGACGTCTCGAGTGTTGTGACTCTCTGCTGTCTGTTGTCAGTTATTCCTCTGACCCGCTTGTCTCTTCCAGGGCATCACTCTGAAGATGAACGAACTGAACCACTGTATCGTGGCCCGGATCATGCACGGTGGAATGATACACCGACAAGGTGTGACACTTGTTAATGGGCCCGTTCGGCCGCACGTTTTGTCAATCTCAGTGATATTCATCAGAGATGCAGGTAGTGGTTGCTCCTGTTGGACTCCTGGTAATTTAAATGACAATGGAATGTGTTGGGCTGCCCTGGAGTCGGCACCAAAGAGCCTCATTTGTTGCCTTTTTATTAAATCCTTATTTCTGCCCGCGTCAGGGACTCTGCATGTCGGAGATGAGATCCGGGAGATTAATGGCATCAGCGTTGCCAACCAGACGGTAGAACAGCTCCAAAAGATGCTGGTGAGTCAAACAAATCAGATTCGTCTCCTCGTCTTGTTTTTACAATTGAAGTTTGCAGGTGGCTTTTTTTTTTTTTTTTAACCTAAAACGCTATTCTAAAAGCATCCGACGGGCGATGTTGCTATGGGGACCAGTTCAGTAACTGTGTTTGTGCCTTTGTCCACACAGAGAGAAATGAGAGGTAGCATCACCTTCAAGATTGTGCCCAGTTACCGGTCCCAGTCCGGATCCTGTGACGTACGGACTCCAAAACGCACACACCTGCATGTCGTTTTTTGCATTTTTGCAGGGGAATTAATCATTTAGCATTTTGTGTTTCAGAAAGAGTCACCGGACGCGTCCCGACAGTCTCCTGCAAATGGCCACGCCAGCGTGACAAGCTCCATCCTGGTGTGTTTCTGCTTCTCTTTATTTTACAGAGAATGCATGAAATATAAAACTCATTCCTTGTTTCAACTTGTGTGTCAGGAGTCACGGTTCAGATCATTAAAGCCCTGCATGTTGGATTCCAATCAGGCTCATTTTCAACAAGGAGCACAAAAGCATCTTCAGCCGATTCTATGTTTTCATTTTCTTTCTTGTGTTTGTTAAAAATCAAATTAAATGCTTACACAAAAACGTCTTCTCTCCCCGAATAGGACCTGCCCGCGACGATCCAGCCCAAAGGCCGCCAGGTGAGATTTGCTCATCCTTTCCACCCCTCCTGTTCATTCCATGGTGTGCTCCTCCCTTTGCTTTCAATCTGCGACTCGGAATGGCAAACTATCGCAGTTTGCACTCATAAGCGCTCCTGCAGTCTACTATTCCCTTCATATCTATCTGTAAGTTCCTATGTTTTGCTCTGTCACATCTTTACTCTGCTTCGGCCCACCCTGAACATTGGAACGGTTCCCTTCACAGTTGAGCACACGAGTGATGGAAAGTTGACTGGCGCGTAGATCATTTCCTCTTAAATGTATTTGATTTCTGTCATTTTTGTCTGTTCATGACGTTTATGATGCTCCGAGGTCGCCCACACACATTTAGAAAATGCAGAATTGCATTTTTTTAATATATAAGATGCGTCCATTTGTGGGTCCCCTATCACACCTCCTGTGTTTTATGCCCCTCCCCTAAACATTTTCTACTGCATGATATATGTGTGTGTGTGTGTGATGCTCTCAACCCCTTAGATCTCCAGACCTGCCATCAAGGACAAATTGTCCATCAAGGTAAGCTGTCTCTAAGTGGACCCTTCATAGAAGTAGATCCCAGCTCCTACCACCTCCATCCCAAAAGCTCGGTTCCTCATCGTAGTGGTGTCTAGCTCCCATGCAAGCTACCAAGGCTTCGCCTTCATATCTTGTTTGTGAGTGGACGTAAAGGGGCGACAGAAATAAATGTGGATGTATGTGCTTAAGCTGTCGATTGGGAAAAGACCCATCTGCCTTTAACTGTTTGTGCCTTTTCCCGCTTCGGCTGACCAGCTTTTGATTTATTTCTTTTTTCCTTTTACTGTATTTTCATCTTTTAATGGCGAGCGCCGGCGCAGCATTTCTGACTAACCAATCGGGCAGGCAGTCTCCTTTTGTATTGGCAGCAGCTTGGCCAATCACATTCTTCCCCGTATATATTCCCCTGTGATCACATGTTCTCTGTGACACCGTGTCCCCCGACTGTCGCCTCTCTGTCCCCAACCTTTTTTTTTTTTTTTTTTAAAGATTTACGTTCGCGCTCAGTTCGAGTATGACCCGGCGAAGGACGAGCTCATCCCACGTAAGGAGGCGGGCATTCGCTTCCAGGTGGGCGACATCATTCAGATCATCTCCAAGGACGACCACAACTGGTGGCAGGGAAAGCTGGAGAACACCAAGAACGCCACAGCGGGGCCTCATCCCCTCACCTGAGCTGCAGGAGTGGTGAGGCTTCTTTTTGGCTGCTGCAAAAATGTAAAGTTCCCATATGCATTTACCGGCGCACGTGTGTTCTCCTCTCTCATCTCCTTCTACCCCTTCCAGGGCGTGGCGTGTATAGCGATGGAGAAGACCAAACAGGAGCAGCAGGCCAGCTGTACCTGGTTTGGCAAGAAGAAGAAACAATACAAAGACAAGTACCTGGCCAAGCACAACGCGGGTAAGCCGACACGCATTGCAGTGCGGCTGCACTGACCTCGTTTTAGAGCGCAGGCGGTACGACGTGAGGGAGACGTGCTCGTTCTGACTCGCGCTGCCGCAAAAGGAATCGCTTTCAGACTGATGTGTGGCACATAATGCCGATGTTGCTTTTGTTCACTTTGTGTAACTGCTGCACGTCTGTAGCGTTTCCCTTCTGACTGACCTTCTCCTGCCGCTGTCTCCATTTGACCTAATTTTTCAGCTACTAACAACGTTGTAATTAACAGCTTTTGATGAGGTTTTTTTGTTCAATTGTCCTTTGTGGTGTCTTTTTTATTAACCCTTCCGCTCCAACCCTTTGTCCATATTTCATGCTGTCTCTTACCCAATGACATGGCTGCATGTAAGTAACCCCAGACAGCTGGCGCCCAGCCTCTGTGATTTTCTTCCTCCTCTTTCTGCTGTTAAACCTCGTCCTTGTCTCCTTGACCTTTTTGAGTGACTGCTGCTTTGTTTGGGTTGTTGTTAGCAAAGATGACGCGATGCAGCTCGGCCTTTTAGATGCTCGGCTAGGTTCTTTTTTTTTTTTTCATTTTCTTATTAGAAGTAATTAATGTTTCCTGTGGTGCTTTGAACGTCATCAGGTCTGCTTTCCACTTTCGACAGCCTTGCTGTCAAAACATTGTTGTTAATGTTAATCTTGTTAGCATTGCTTGTGTGCCCTGTGATTCTCTATTAGATTTTCTTTTTCACAGATGTTTGTATTCACACTTTTGTTGAGTATGTTGCCAGTTTATGAGGTACATCCAGTTAAAACCAACAGTCTGTTGTTAAAAAAAAAAGTAGAAATCAGCACTATGATCTATTGAATCTATTGCTATTCTGTTTCCATAGATGTACCTAATAAACTGGTGTCTGCCTGAATGTCAGCCAACTCGGGTTCACCGAAAGAGTTTGTTACGTAACGCCAGACCACATGTTAGCTGCTGTACAGCTGACGCTAAGCTAATGCTACTGCTCTGCTCTGCAGTGTTCGACCAACTAGATCTGGTGACGTATGAGGAGGTGGTCCGAGTGCCATCATTCAAAAGGAGAACGCTGGTCTTGCTGGGTAAGTTAGCAGTTTTATTTGTTTTAGGCAGAGAGAGATGATTCATTTTAGATGTATTTGGTTTAAAAAAGAAAACACAAGTCATATCATGTGGTTAATAAATAAATAAAATGGAATATGTGCACAATTTGGCTTTTCATGAGAATGTCATAATATTAAAAAGTAATGAAGTAGCACGAGACTGAGAAGTATGCAATACAACGCCATCGTATGTCATTCAACGAAATGCCATTGAGAATATAACCTGAAAGGGTCCTAAAAACGTCATAGTATGCTATATAGATGTCATAAAACATGTCACCAAAAAGGAATGTGGCGGGTCACTGGATCTCTAGCAACTAAATCTGTTGAATTCATTGGTTCCTGCTGTGTCCTTTCCTTCAGGTGCACATGGAGTTGGACGGAGGCACATCAAGAACACGCTTATCACCAAACATCCTGACCGCTTCGCCTACCCCATCCCCCGTAAGGACAGACACGCACACCAACTACATCAGTTACCCACCCAGAAACCCGGTGACTCCGTGTCCTCACCTCTTCTTTCGTCCCTGCTCCATCCGTCCCCTCTGCACAGACACGACTCGGCCACCGAAGAAGGACGAGGAGAACGGAAAGAACTACTACTTTGTGTCTCACGACCAGATGATGCAGGACATAAGCAACAACGACTACCTGGAGTACGGCAGCCACGAGGACGCCATGTACGGAACCAGGCTGGAGACGATCAGGCAGATCCACACGCAGGGCATGATCTCCATCCTGGATGTGGAACCGCAGGTAACAAAAGGGCCGCGCCGCCAAACACCTGATCGGCGTCATAAAAGGGCAGTTGGGTTGGAAGAACTTCAAAATAAAACTCTCTCTCGGTCTCTCGCCAGGCACTAAAGATCCTCAGGACAGCGGATTTTGCTCCCTACGTCGTCTTCATCGCAGCTCCCACAGTCACCCCGGGCATGACCGAGGTACTCCACAAATACGTTCCGACCTGCTCTGCCACAGTAGTGGTCCAAGTTGACCGTATCTGCACATACTCTTACTCTCATTCTGCCCAATAACTGAATACAATTAATAAGAACCCCTTCCGAACTTACGCTGTCTCTAAACCGCCTTGATTATCTGTTGCCGTCGTCCCTTTTTGCTTTGCTCCGTCTCTTGCGCTGCACGTGTCCTGTAGCTTTAAGCATGTCTGTATTTTCATTTGCACGCCTCTATTCATCTGCACTCAAGATTCCAAAGTGGTGCAAGAGACTGTCTGTGAGTATTGGTTCTGTGAGCGCGGCTTGTTTGGATATTGTAGAATGTGTTTGTGCAGCTCTAGTAGTTGTCTGTCCGTATCGACTGTCATTCTTCTTGATTTCCTCTAAATCCTCTAATCCTTCTAATAATCCTCTTAATGGGGTGTTTCTACAACAGTATAAACCAACCCTTCTACTCCATTTCCTTTTTCCTCCACTGTGTATTGTGAGCAATTTTGGGAATAGTTCAATGTTGTTGTTTTTTTCCCGTTTTTTTACATAAATTTAAATTTTGCAGAAATTTCAGGTGAAATATGTGTCCATAAAGTAAATACACTATAGGCTGATACCAACTACACGTTAATTCCTGAACCAATGGAAGTAGACCACAGATGGCCTTGATGCCCAGTCGCTAACCCCCCCGCCATTCCTATTTCTCCATCACACCCCAGGATGACTCTCTCCAGCGGCTCCAGAAGGAATCCGAGATGCTGCAGGGGACCTACGCCCACTACTTTGACCAGACCATCATCAACAACGAGATCGACGACACCATCCGGCTGCTGGAGGAGGCCGTCGACCTGGTGTCCACCACCTCTCAGTGGGTCCCCGTCTCCTGGGTCTACTGACACGCGCCCCGACGGCGCCTCACTCATCATCGCTCTGGACGATCCATCGCTGATCCAACACGGACACTAAACCAGAGTCTTACACCCCCCACCCACCTTTCCCCTCCTCCGGCCCACCAAGTCCCACGTCTCATCCACGTCACACATTCCTGTCGTTGAAAAAGAGGAATGGAGGAACCAATGACTCACTACAGAGACTTCATGCTGCCCCGCCCCCTTTTCTCAACAGCCTCAAAGGCACATTGTTGTGTACATATATACATATATATATATAAATGATAAAAGACAAGGGAAAATGTTTGTCCTAGCTGAAGCGTGGGGGGCGGAGGGGCAGTGTGGTAGATATTTTGTACTTTTCTTTTGTAATCGATGGATGGTTGGTAATATTGGAAAGGCAATAGCGAGCATGACGATAAAGCAGTCTTACGTGCGTGTGCCTGTATGAGTGTGTCCGTGTGTGTGTTAACCTTTTTAAAGGCACTTCTCGTGGTAATCTTGTGTCCTCCTCTCAAACACCCGCCCCCCTAGTCTCCTCGGCCCCTGTGACCTACACGCCGAACTTTAAAGCACAGTAGAAGCTGCTATAGTGGCAACAAGTGACTCCCTCAGCGCCGGTGGCCTGGTGAGCCCAGCAGAAAGCACAGGAAACTTGGCAGTTTCTCCCACCCCCCCTCAGCCCTTTGGAGTTTATTTGCTGGCCCTCTGTGCCTATCAGTTCGTTGAAGGGGCACACTGCTTCCCTCCACGCGGCCTATTGTACCATGCTTCCCCTCCAAGCCTCCGATGGTCTTTGTTTACACCTCAGTTTGCACAAAATGTACAATGAAGAGGACGCGTCGCCTCGCGGTCTACAATTCATCTCTCTGGCCGTCTCCACCCCTCTCCCTCCGTACACGAGATGCCAACCGGTGGCCGATGGGACCCGGGAGTATCGATCACAAAGCGCTCGCTGTAACCACCAAACCCCCCCCTCCTCCCCCCCCCCCGCTGACTGAACTGGAGGACGAAAAACAAACAAAAAGACTGACGGGAAAAAATAATAAATGAACTGCCTTATCAGAGCCTCGGGGAAGAAGTCTGTAACACCTATGCACACCCCCGGTGTCTGCCAGGCAGACCGCCACCACCGGTCTCTTTGCCCACACTGAAATAGTGAGCCATGCTTGTTCAAATTAACAAATTAAAGTGTTCATAAGAATATGCGTGGAAGGGGAGGGGCTCGGGTACGTGGCGATGAAGCCAGTCATCGAGCCACCATCTTGGAACTGTTAACTGTTGTCTTTAACAATATAAAGGTATTCTTGTTTGAGGGAGAGAAAATAACTAAATTTTGTGTGTAAATGTTTCAATGGTGCGTACGTCATACGAGTGAATAACCAAGAGCCAGTGTATATTAACCCTTAAAAGAAGCTCAGTATGTGACATAACCTCTTCATGCTTTACCAGAAGTGAGACGACGCTTCCCCACCTCCAGTGACTCGGTAAGTAAGCACATCAGGTGAAGGGTCTCGGACAAAAGATGAAACTTCATTATTATTTTTTAAGTCAATATTCTCCACTGTGTGGTGTGGATGCTGTTGCTCCACTTCAAGTAAAGTGTTATCATTTCAAGTCCTGTGTATATTACCTCTGCAAATGACAAAAGCAGCTCTTCTGTATGAAATGTTGTTCTTTTTTTGTTATTTCATTTTTAAAAAAAATTATATTTCCTTTTACGTGTTTAAAGTAAACCACCTGGTCGGTCTTCTTCTTTTCTCTTTTCTTATCTCTCAATTATTTTGTAGGGCTTTACACAAACAAACAAACACATTAAGCAATATCGTGGAGATGATTTCACTGCTCTGGTTTCTCAATGATCCGACGCTCCCGCAGACACACTTCATATAAAAATGCCAGTCCTCATAAAAGTAGAATATTGCATTGTTCGCTACGGTCATAACTCCATCTGTGCGTCGGCACAATTTGTTGATAACTGGTTAATATCCTCCTGCAAAAAGACCTGGTTCAAATGGCCAAAAGGCCGTTAAGTGACGCAGTAACAATTAGGTTAATTTACCCTCATTGCAATCTGTCAAAGGTGAGCTGGTTAAATCCCAGACCTGTACTGTTGAACCCCTTGAGGTTGAAAAGTTCAATATATTTGTGACTCAAGTTTGTTAGTAAATAATTTGTGAAAAAACGTATATGGATCATGCGACGCTACAGTTTATGTCCTACCTGATTTCCACAGCGCTCCTGAGAAATGAAGGTCTCTTTGAAATATCAAGGTCTAGTAAAAAATAAACTCCACTGCTCACAGCCAGAGTGAGTCACGTTTTAGTTTGATGAACTATTTTACCATGCTGCCGCAATATTAGATTTCCCTATTTTCACCCGTCTCTTCCTTTCCGGCTGCCATCGAAATAAATCAAATGTCGCACACAGAACGAGGGTCCCTATCTGTTTGTTTCCACACGTGACCGAAGTGGCCAATTTCACACGGGCAACAGGAAGATACGGAACCGGTCGCCATGGCAACGCCGCCAGCTGTGAGTCACCAACTAATCAGGGCTGTGCGACAGTGAACAAAATGTAACCGGAAATTGAATTTCCCAATGCCGCTGAATTCTAAGCATGAATCAATTGTAAGACCATATGAAAGTAGAGAGGAAAGGCTGCAAGGAGACGAGGAGGAGATAAGTGGAACAAAGACAAAGTATAGAATGTTAAAAGAGGTCAAAGTGCAGTATATGCAAAATAGTAATCATTTAATTATCAAAAGGTCATACTATGACCTGTCAATTTTATGTCCAGAGAATTCGTAGAATTATATTTAAAGTCAAAAGTTCAAGGTAATCCACAGTAACAAATCATATAATCTGAAGTTGTAAAGTTTGTTGCAAACTACATGAATAAAGAATAACTGACATTTCAGCTGATTTTAAGAGCTTATTTGTCTACATTTGTTTTTCTTTCTTCCAGAAAACACCTGATGCTCCCTGGAGAACCACATTGAAGCACAACAGTTGCTGCTCAGCCGCTTCCAAGTCAAACCAATGGAGGAGCAAGGAAACCCATCAAACTAAATGTAAAATAGCATAGTATAGTATGTTAATACTATGAAATTTCATAGAACATTAAACGATAATCATACGAAGTATGTTGAGAAAGATGAGTATCGTAGTGTGACAATATCACAGGCGGAGCAAGAACGAACCAAACATGGGATTACCAAACACAATTTCTCTTTAAAGCACAACTCAAACACATGCACCGTGTAGCAGCCTGCTAATGAGTTGGGTGCAACAATGGATGTCTGAAAGTGTGTAATAGTGGCGGCTGGTGGAAAGATTTCTAGGCCATTCTGTGTCATGGGGTTTCTCAGGAAGGGACGGCTGTAATGGTAAAATATGTTATAGTCTTATGCTAAAAGAGGGATATTGTCTGTATTCAAGGTTAACATGTGAAAAGCAGAAGTTTCCATTTGCAGGAAGGAGAGCGAGTCAACTTGCTTCCACATAAAGGCTTCAACTTTCACCTGCTTTGTATGTGTCATAACCTGGTTCAATATGTATCGATGCAAGTTTCATAACCTAGTTTCATATATCAAGTTTTATATCTGCCCTATATGGTCTAGTGGTTAGGATTCGGTGCCACTGCGGATGACCTTAGTATGTGTGTGTAAAAGCTCGGCGTTTTGACTGTAATACGTGCTGGTGTATTTGACCTGCTTGCAAGCAATAAATTAACTTTTACAACGTTGAACATTCATCAAGATTTTGTTTATCTGAGAGAAACAAAGAAAATTATCCTCTTCTCCCGAACTAGTTACAATGAAATATTCCACAACATGGCGCCTGTCGGTACCAATGTTGCGGAGTCTATTTAAGGACGCCGAGTGGCTAAATTGTATGTCACACGACATACAATTATATTATTTAATCAGCAATTTGCTAAAACGCTTCTTAGACCCGCCTTCTGCGTGCAATCATGAGTTTGCACCTCGCGCAGGTAAAACGCACATGAAGACAGGACGTGTAAGACGGGCAGGGATGTGCAGGAAGAGCAGACAGACAAATATTACTGCCTACATTACATATTCAAAAACACAAATTTAGAATTTTTTTTATTTTATTTACTATTATCTGGTGTTTTTTTGCCAGCCGCCACTGGTGTGAAATGTGTTAAATGAAAACGAGAACGTTCATTGTATATGCTGATTGTTAGAAAAGTGTAGAAATGTCGAAGAAAGCACAGTGCATCATAAAAACTGTGATATTATTAAAGGTCGGCACGAAAACAAATGGAAATAACTTGTAGTACAGCATGTCGACAACAACAAAAAAGGTCATATGTCTATAAAGCCATAGTATAGCCTGTTGAATGAAGTGAAAAAGGTCATAGTATTGTATGTTAAATACAGCCATAATATAGCAAGTTAAAAAAGAGAGAAAGGCTTATAGTATAGCATGTAGTAAATGAATCACAAAAGGCTTAGCGCCTCTGATCTGCCTGCTGGGTGTCTAGTGGAATGGCGAAGCGGCTCAGCCCCCTGAACTCTGGGTTCACACCTGCGCTCAGGGTTGATGGATCGAGTCCAGCGATGGCCTTCACCTCAGTGTCTGAAGTGGTTTTAAGGTTGTACTCAAGGTTGAATACGAGAAACGAAGCTGGGTGGATATGTGTGGTGGAATAGTGCAGGGGTTCAGCACACAGGCTGCAGACCCAGCGGACTTCAGTGCAAACCTGCTCTCAGTGGTTGTTGGTTCGAGGCCAGCGACGCAGTTCAAAGTTTTGAGTTTCCACTCAAAATCTCAAGGTTAAATACAAGAAACGAGATATTGAAACATGTGCCTAGTGGAATAGCACAGTGGTTAAACACATGGGCTGCAGTCTTGAGAACCCGGGTTCAAAACTAGCCTGGTGACATCAATGTTGAGTAGAAGGGATGCAAAATTGGGAATAATTGGACCTCAAGGTCATTGGAAATAGAAAGGCAGCGATGAGGTAGGTCCAATCTGCACTACGGTGTGTTGCGGTGGGGTTCTCCCCACCGGTAGTTTCGGGACCATGTGCCGTAGGGGTTATGCATAAAATCATGGGGACTGTTGATACTTTTGGAAGATTCATCTTTGAAAAGTAGGTAAAAATATATTAAGTTCATTGCAGTTAAGTCTAGCAGCACTACTGACTCAGTGACGAGCACTGGTCCTACTGGTTTACTCACATATTGTACTGCGCTGCACTGCTTAGTCAAAGATTTGTAAAAACATTTATGCAGTAGTGACTCTTCCAAAACTCCAGCTGTCAGTCATGATTTTATGCATAACCCCTAGGGCACATGGTCCCGAAACTACCGGTGGGGAGAACCCCACCGCAACACACCGTAGTGCAGATTGGACCTACCTCATCGCTGCCTTTCTATTTCCAATGACCTTGAGGTCCAATTATTCCCAATTTTGCATCCCTTCTACTCAACATTGATGTCACCAGGCTAGTTTTGAACCCGGGTTCTCAAGACTGCAGCCCATGTGTTTAACCACTGTGCTATTCCACTAGGCACATGTCTGAATATCTCGTTTCTTGTATTTAACCTTGAGATTTTGAGTGGAAACTCAAAACCTTGAACTGTGACAGTCATGTCCGTCGCTGGACTCGATCCAACAACCTCTGAGAGCAGGTTTGCACTGAAGATCTTTGAGACTTCAGCCCTCCCAAAGTTCCACTGAGCTATTCTGCCTGACACTCATCAAAGCGTAATTTATTGTATATGACCTTCTTTTCTATGAGCTTTTGAAAAAAAAAAGAAACCTTTTTAAGAGGTGCTGTAACTTGACGCTTTACGATGACCTTTTTTTAACTTTCTTCCCCTACAGCAGGGGTCTCAAACTCGCGGCCCTCAGGGACGATAATAGCTGAAAGTGTAAAAGGAGTTGAAAGGTGCAACGGAAGAAATAGAAGATGGCGGAATAAAGATTCCAAGAACAATACTTGGAATGCTTAATGCATTCCAACAAGTAATTGATCATGAAGCAGTTGTAGCTGATCTAGTCTACTTTATTCATGCAATATACAGTGAGTACAGTCAGGCGTGCGCCCGCCCGCTAATCAGTCGCAGAGGGGTTTTTTTACCTTCGAATATTAATTTTCACATTCAATTAGTTGTTTTAAGCAACTATTCGAATATATATTTGAATTTAGAATATTTATTGACAGCCCTAGAAGAGACGAGAGCAGAGAAACAGACTAAAAGGTGTGTGTGTGTGTGCGCGCTCGACACTCCGTGCCAAATTGAAACGGGGAACGAGTGGTCGCTTTTAAAAACAAGTAGACTGTGCACAGAAAAGGTTTCTATTATATATAGAATATAAAAGGAAAGCAGTGCAAACGACCCTGAACAAAGGAGGGCAAGTAGGTTAACAAAAACTAACTTTTTTACTACCCATTTTTGTTCATTGGCTCGAAAACTAACCATCGAGTCCGGGCAGGAGGGTACGATTCACAATGCAAATAGTTTTAGGGTGAACTATATGGAATGCCGTTTTAGTCAAAATTAAATAAATGAATACATAAATACATGAAATATGCATTTGAAATACATAAATAAATGAGGCAATAAATACATAAATATTAAATACATTTTTTTATTTTATGGTACATTTATTTCATAATGCCACTTTTCATTTCATGGTACGTTTATTTCATAATGCCACTTTTCATTTCATGGTACTTTTATTTCATAATGTCACTTTTCATTTCCAGAGTCTTTTATTTCATAATGCCGTTTTACATTTCACGTTCTTATGAGATACTTTATTGATCCCTCAAGAGGGAAATTTTGGTATCACAGCAGCATGTACAGGGAAGAAAATAGAATGAAAAAGATACACATTATATACAATATAATAAGATAGAAATATTACATTATTAAATTAAATAAACTGAAACTGAAACAAAAGAATAACCTTCCAAAAGAGACAATAATAATAATTTGTAAAAGGAGAAGAGGAAGAGCAGCAACATCACAGCAGTGCAGGGTTATTATTGTCATTATTTAGCCAGGGATGATTTATTGTAGAGTGTTGTTGCACTGGGCATGATCTCCTGTATCGGTCCTTGTGACAGCGGAGCTGAAGGAGTCTGTTGGAGAATGTGCTCCGCTGTCCCTGTAGCAGGTGGTGGAGGGGGTGGTCAGGATTATTATTATATGCAAATCAGGGGGCGTGGCTACATCTAACATTCCGAACAGACAACAGAGCCGTGTGCAAAAGAAGGCTGGCTAAGGGACGTGAGATTAGCGCTGGTACTACAAGCACAGGTGCTGGACGTCCGCCTCTGGATATTGGAATGTAAATGTAAAACGGCATTATGAAATAGAAGACTCTGGAAATGAAAAAAGGCATTATGAAATAAAAGACTCTGGAAATGAGAAAAGGCATTATGGAATAAAAGACTCTGGAAATGAGAAAAGGCATTATGAAATAAAAGACTCTGGAAATGAAGTGGCATTATGAAATAAACGTACCATGAAAAAAATATATTTTATATATATACGTATTTATTGCCTCATTAATTTATTTCATGATGTATTTCAAATGCATATTTCATGTATTCATTCATTGATTTCATTTTGACTAAAACGGCATTCCATAGAACTACTCGGTGATCGAGAAGAGAAACTGAAGCGAGGAGAGCAAACAAACAGCTGGAGTCAAGAGGACACGCCCAGGAGGCTCCTCCCATTTCTCATCTGCATCGCTCCTGAGCATTCGTGACCTCATTTTGAGGGACCGCCATGTTAATATGTGAGAAAAAATGAATTTTGGAAAAGATCTGTCTTTCAATAAAACGTGACTTTTGGACCGAGGACGGACAACTACGGAGACGAGGTTCCCTGCTGTTCACTTTGGGTTTCCCTTCCTGGAAGTTATTCGCAATATTTATTTGCATGAAGCCAAAGCTTCGTCAGTCTAGTCCAGCCGTCATGACGGATGATTTGAATCGTGGTATTAAAGATTATGGAGAACAGATTATGGATTCTGTGATATTGTCCTTTAGACCTTTAAGAATAAAGCACTCGTTTATTTACGGATCTTAAAAGTTTCTCTTATTCTAATACTTTCTTCAGGAGACATTTTTTAAATTGAAATCCAATTAAAAAGAAAGTAAAACCTTTTGCTACTTGAAAATCAAGTTAGAACACATCTTACTGAACTTACTGCGACACCAGGAAGTGGGTTCTTGTCCGAACCTGTGATGTGAAAGTGAAAACTAGGCTGTGGGGGGAAGCGATGGCTGAAGTGAAGGGCACGTGTGTCACGCGTGTCCTGTTTCGATACTCTGAGAGGAGTCGGTCTGCACTCACCTGGCCTGCTATGGCAGTGAAGTAACTCCACATTGGGTCATTGGCGGCTGGGGGAGGGGCTCCGTATGTGCCTGGATAGCCCCCCCCATAGGCGGGGTATCCTCCCTGTGGCTGTGCGCCTCCCATCGGCCCGCCCATGTGGCCCGGCATGGGGCCTCCCATTGGACCCCCGGGCATTCCCTGCATGGGCATCCCCTGCGCGGGCATTCCTTGCATCGGACCCCCGTATTGAGGCTGAGAACAGAGGGTCCAGAGTTATTACACGTTCATCATGGCTGTGCCATTGAGATTTGGCCAAAAAAACACGTTCAATACGACAACCTGCTAATTTCAGAGTCTGTAACAAACTATGGCATGGAAGCAGCTTGCGATAATGGACTTTCTATATCTTAAAAGTGCAAAGGTAAAAATGTGCCATTTATTATTGTTTTAAAAGTTCTCAGTATTTTCACCCTGACTGACTTCAAGAATACAAGGTATGATGTAAGAATAAAACATCTGCAGCAGCAGACAGCTGCATGTTAAATGAATACAATTGGTCTAGCGCTGCATTTTTTATTTGGCAAAATCTCAAAATCAGCAGTTCACTGGTGTGTAGGATTACTCTAAAGTCTAAAAATGTATCCTTGGGAGTTGAGAATATTAAAAGATAAGAAACTTGCTTAATATAAGTCAGCCGAGCTGGCCAACGCAGCAGGTTTCAACGTTAATGATTCACAAAATCTTTAAAAAAAAAAAAAAAGACAAACCTACAAGTTAACGTTTAATGAAAACTTTGCCCTCACTTAAGATTCTATTAGGAAGACGATCCCGAACAGAATGTCTGACATCGTGACTTTGTGTTTTCCAATGAATAAAACGCTCTGGATTCCTTCCTCGTGAGTAAACTGGCTGATGACGCGCAGGCTGAACGCGCTGCTATTGGCTGCCGTGTTAATAGGCGTCGGACCCTTCTGGAGACCCTGGACTGTCGACGCGACGGGGACAGAAAAGGGTGCGCCTCGTGGTCCCTGTAATCATTTACTCCACTGCATTCACCAGAAACGAGTCACTACAGAACAAGAGCTAACTGTGTGACGTTTGCAGATAGTTTGTCCATAATGGAGGTTGAGCCTCCTCGCGTAAATAACTTCACACGTAACTACAGCAGGCTGGATGGTTCCTCTTCGGTGTTGAGGATATTCACCCCGGAAGTAAACTATCTAACAGCGACACCTTTCGTCCCGAATTTAAAAAAAGGAGCTGCTCTCCCGCGGTTAAATGATACGCGGGTATCTACCGGGAGACGTGAAACAGGACCGCTTGTAGCAGAGTTAATTATCGGAAATGGAGCGAAACAGAAGCCTCGGGCTAGCTCTTTTTGGCTAAACCACAGCCGCTCGTTTTTACCCCTTTTGAGTCGCAGCGGCTCGTTTCTTACTCACCGCGCCGTAACCTGGATAAGCCATTTGTTGGCGGAGGGCAAACTGTCACAAGTTTGATGTCTTTACAAGCGTGATTGACGGCGTGCGCGCGCGTCTTCTCTGCTCCGCGGCTGTAACTTCCGATTCGTGTGTGAAGTCGTGACGTCACATCCGAGCCGCAGAAAGCTGTCGAACGGGGGTTGAGTGATGGTGCCGATAGCCAATGGGTGAGGAGCTGTGGAAGAAGACCCGCCCATCAGTTGCTTACTTGGTTTGGCGCTGCGTTTAACAGCTGAAATTTCAAACTAATTAAATGTTTTTTGTTTTTAAAAAAATATTAAAAATGACTAACTCCTATAGAAAATTGTAAATTCATTAAAAATGCTGTACAAAACCACCTCTGTGTCATATTTCAGTTAGTTACTTGGGTGTGTTGCCATACAATTGAAGTGACAGCTTTCCCAGCACTTCTTAGCTTCATTTCGATGTTGTCGGTGTTGAAATATTTTTTATTATTACCTTTCACTTACACAAATAGAATTTAAAAGGCTTATACTATATTCTTTCTTGAAGCATTCGTGTTTTAGGAACAAATGAAAGGCTACGATGGCTTCCTGTCGCCACTAGGTGGTGCGTTTGGGACCTTATTTAGACAATCAACGTGTATCCTTTTCTACAACTTCAAGCAGGACAAGGAGATTGTATACTTTGCATTTTACACAGAACCCGAGACGAAATATATTAAAACTTAATGAAGAGTGACAGAAGTAAAATCAAACGGGATAAAATAAGAAAATGAAGCCATTATACTTTTCAGGTCACCTTCAAACTCTCTTCACCTGTCATTTGTCTGCTTTATTACCTGCTCACAGAGCGTGTACCACGTCAAAGACCTTCAACTGGGATATCAAGGAAGTTACACGATGAGAACCTGCACATTTATTTATTTAAACTTTATTTTATGTGCACATCATAGCGGCATTAGAATTGTGACATACAATTATGCACTGTGTTTAGTGTTTGTTTACAACACCTGGCCAGAGGACTCTTTTTTAACAGGATAGAAAATGAATGAAAAATAAAAAACAAAGAAAAATGCTGATGATGTCCATGTGAGGTTGTGCGATACCCTCACGAGGTGCTGCTCACTGAGGCCTGTGCATTCACTCCACTGGTTGGTTCATATCACCCTTCAGGGTAAACTCAGGAACCGTCCTGTCGAGGACATTTTGCTTGGTGAAAAGTGCAGAGGAAGCCGCAGCTTCCTGCTCAGCTCGGTGGAGCGTCGCGTCTCCTAACTGAACTACACATCTGTGGTGGAACACGTGACCACATTAGTGTCAACATTTCCGAGAGGCAGAAAGGGCCGCGGGCTCCTGAGTGCACTGACAGCTATGGAGGTAAATATTGTAATACCTCCGGATGACGTTTGTGCTTCTGAGAATAATGTTTTTACTAGAATTCACGTGGTCATGTTTAAAATACTTCAATATATTACATATGTGAATGCATATTTGTGTCTTGCATATGGCGGTGATCTATGAGGTTTTTAGGATTCGGGAACAGGATGCAACACACTTAATGTGTCCTGTGGTCCAAATAAGGCCAGCCAGGCTTCCAGCAGAACTCTAAACATGGATGGGACTGAATGTCGTGGGAAAGCTAAAAATGAAAAAAACACTATAAACAAACGACACAAAAGCTGGCTGAAGGATTTACTATGAAGATACAGTCATGAACAAAGACAATCTGACAAGGAACACTCGTGTTCAGATCCACCAGGGAGGTGCAGGTGACTCGGATTCTATTGAGGGCAAACATCACGCACACACAAGGGCAGGAAGTGAACTCACACAAGATGGAAATATAAAGTAAAACTAGAAACCCGCTCGGATTGGGATCTTTAAGCAGGAATGGAATATATAGTTTACAGCTCATTTTCATTTGTGTGTCACCTGAGATTTTTAACTAAAAATGTGCCCTTCATATCGACATTTGGGACAGATCCGCTATGTACAAACTGAACCCTGCCTCGAGAGAGGGACTCCACCATCTCTTTGGTCACCCGAGGGCCTCCGAAGTTCTCCACGTGCTTGTGAAACTGTGGTGCACAAGCAGTCTTGCAAAGGGAGGCGTGACCAGCTGGTTGCAATCGGCGACCACGCCACGGAATGCCCCTAAATTGCGCGTGCTATCCCTTTTAGGAGGATCACTTTTAATGAAATGGAGTACTTTTACATTGTTGTATGGACACTTGTTCTTAAGTAAACTATGTGCTACAGTAGATTAAGCAGATACACATAGAAGGAGGTTAATAGAAGCTCAACTGACCCATTTCTGACCTTTCTTTCCCCTCACAGTTCTGCCAAACAATAACTTCCAAAACTCCAACGCAACTCAACCTCTCGCCAAGAAGGCCATTACAGGACTGACACGTCACGCACATCTGCCGAGATCCATACCCAACATCTGTGTTTATCCCCATGAATAAACACCGGACACTTCAGACCCTCAGAGGAGGGGGATCAGATGTTCAAGTGCATAAACCCAGAGAACGTTACATTACATGTAATTCAGCTGACGCTTTTATCCAACGCGACTTACAATGAGTGCATTGCAACCATAAGGACACAAACCCAGAAGAGTGCGATTTCATCAAATAAGCCGAGTACAAGTACAATGTAAGTGCTACAGTTAGTTAGTGTGTTAGTGGAGGTAGAGTCTGAAGAGGTGTGTCTTTAGTCTGAAGATGTGAAGGCTCTCTGTGGTCCTGGTGTCTTCAGAGAGCTCGTTCCACCTTTTAGGAGCAGGACAGCAAAGAGTCGAGATCTAGTCGAGTGTTTTGCTCTCAGTGAGGAGGAACAAGCCGTTTATCAGATGCAGAGCGGAGAGTGCGGGTCGGGATGTCGGGTTTGACCAGGTCCTGGATGTAAGCTGGACCCGATCCATTCACAGCATGGTACGTGAGCACCTATGTTTAGAACTGGATGTGGGCAGCCACTGGAAGCCAGTGAAGAGGGCGGAGGAGTGTGGGAGAATTTAGGAAGGTTGAAGACCAGTCGAGCTGCTGCATTCTGGATGAGCTGCAGAGGTCGAATGGCGGTAGCGGGGAGAGTTTTGGATTGAAAGGGAAGAAGAGAGACGCATCTGTAGCCGTTTTCTCCAGATGGATTGAGGGTGGGTTCCTTTAGGAGTGGGTTAACCTAACGTATGTCTAGCGTATCTCAAAAAGAGTCGTCTCCCGGAAGGAGGGTGGAGGAGGGAGGAGGACTCGGGGGTTGGATGAGGTTGGAGAAGGGGTTGGGGTTAGAACATGAGGAGCTTTTGGCAGCAGAGATAGAATCACAGAAAGAGGAGAGAAGAGATCGAAACGCAAGCAGGTCATCGGGTTGTTTATGTTTACGCCATTTCCTTTCCGATGCTCCAGACGACAGAGAGGCATTATTTTTCATTTTAAGTCTTTCATGATTTATTTCCATCCACACCTTTTTTTCCAAAAAGTGTATTCTCTGTAACAACGATGCTGAAAGAATGTCACATTACTAATTGGATATTCAAGAAATAACCTAAGAAGCAAGAGCAGAGACATTTAATTGACTCTCAATCTGTCTGTGATGCGTCAGCGTGTCGTCCTCTGAATGTGTTGATAAGCCCACATGTGCTCAAAGTAACACGTATAAAGGGTTTTATCTGAGGTAAAGTGACGGCTCATGGACGGCCTCTAAACGCTCTTCAAACAAGCCGTGCTGCATCAGAGGAGACCTCGACTATCTATTTGTTTGCTGAGAATATCCGGAGCGAGGGACCATATCGTTTTTATTCCCCATAAAGGCACAGCTTTATGTTTGTTGAGCTTTTAACGGGCTTTTACTGGGGCTGGTGACACCAATGCAGTGTGTGCAAAGTGGGAAACTTCCTCACACCTTTATTTTTAGCCCCTCGCAGAAAGTCTGCTCGGCGGTGTCTTATTAAAATTGTATTATTCCGATGTTCTTGTTGGAGTTTTCACCCCGTGTCTCTTGGTGGGTGACACAGTTCTCACGCTGCTCTCGGGAGCCTCAAACAGGAAGGGTATCACTGATTGTGTAAATAGGGCTCATGGGGTTTCATCCAGCTGTGAAGCAGACTTAGATAAAGGAGCCCTGGTCCTACGTGGGGGGGCAACCGAATTGCCACTTCCACCCAAAGCCGGGCCTTTGGTTTTCCACAGCGTGAATATTGGTGACACTGAACAAAACAACAAAACACCGTAGAAAAATGTGAGGTATTCTTGGTCAAATATGGAATATGTAAAAAAAGAAAAACATATATAGTCCAACTTTCAAAAATGTCCACGTGTGGATTGTCTGTTTTTCCGTCGGTGTGCATTTCTGCAGGTGGGAAGTGTTTAACCTGCGCGACCAGCTTGTCATTAGTCGGGTTTACACTGTTCCAGCTTCCTGTTGGACAACATGAACGCGTTTCTTCATAACGTGTTTTCACGTTGCGGGTTTCACACCGACTCACTTTGAACGGCGCGCGCGTCACACCGGCGGCTGGAAGTGTGAACGATCGGGATCGGGACGCGTGAACGCAACAGCGGCCGGTTTATGGGCTCGAACGCCGCCGCCGACTTCCTCAAACCGCGCGTGAGCTGCGGCCGAACTTCGCCCCGCGGCGCATTTATGGTCCCTACCTTTGAAACTTCACCTGAGATAATATTTACCGAGCAAAATCCAGCGTGTCACATAACTCCAAAAAAAAAAAGAAAGAAAGTGCAAGCTGCTGTGCGTGTGCGCCGACGAGCTTGTGGTTCGCACACTTTCCCCTCAGCGCAGAAACGATGGTTGGTGGTCTCCGTGAATACTTTGTGTCCGGGAGGGGTCGGGGGGGGGGTATTTTTTGCCTGGCCGCGCGGGTGAGGGGGGCATTTCTGACGTTCTGCTCCGCTCCACTTCCCGCAGGTGTCCATCGGCAAGGTGCTCCTCGGATTGTGCGGGTTGGCGGTGGTCATCATTCTGATTGCGGTTCCCACGGCGATCTTCCTGAACAGTGAGTCTCGCCGCAATGATTCACACGTTGGGCACTTGGTCCCTTTGTTGTCGCGGCGCGCCGTTTAGTTGTTTTACGCGCGCGTCATTACGCATCGTCTGTTTTAAACGTCACCGATTCTAAACAAGCCTGAACGTGTGAAGCTATTTCTATTCAAGAATACGTGACCAAACGACGGTGTTTTCATCAGTAAATAGTTTCTTTCTCACTTCACGCGCAATCACTTCCCATAAATAGCCCCAAAGACGCACTGAGGCGAGCAATACTTCTCCTGTCCTTATCAGTCACTTGTCCTATTTGATGACGCGTGTGGTATCATATTTATAACCTGTGACCTTCAAGTCCCTGCCAATGTGAGTTCTTTCTTGTTCCAGAAGAGCAGGAGGGGAACATGAGATCTTTTACACTGGAGGATGTCTTCAACAGTTCCCTGAAACCAAAGTCCTTTGGCATGAGGTGGATCTCAGGTGGGAGGACACACTCATGGGAAGGAGTGATAAAGTGGAGATGGAAAATGATGACACCGTTTACAGCCACGCAATGCGTTACAGAGGAAGCTTTATTATCTGTCAGCTACCCTCCTTCATTCTAGTTACTAATTCACCAGCTTGATCCTCTAATTCATGTGTGAGTGAGTTATTGCCAGACGGCTTTATGGAAAATGGTAATGGATTTGCACTAGCACCTTTTTGTTTACCCTCTGACCATTCAAAGAGCTTCATGAGAAGACTCACTCATTCACTCACACATTCATACACGGATGGCAGCGATCGAGGGACCGTCAAACCTTCTTTCTTGTATTCCCTGAACAAACTGTTCTTTAAGTTAATTGCCACGTTATGGTTGTATACATTTCGGCGTTGTCGTTACCAGTAGGTTTCTATTAAAAGCGGAATGAAGCTCAAAACGGGGGGGGGCTCCAACCTGCCAATCAGTGTCAAATGTCAAATGTCAATCAAATGAGCCTGGAGCCAAGGCGGGTCCAGAAGAGGTGAGCCAGTGGGGCACGCTGACCTGCACCAACACACAAGGGCGAGCGGCTTTGTGCTCAGCTGACATCTTTTGGGATTCACATGCTTGTTTTTAAATCAATTCTTCTATTTTGCCTTTTGGCCCCCTGGTTTTCCACAGATCACGAGTATCTCTATAATACCAATGGCTCAGTCTTCATCCTCAACGTGGCCACAGGCGGCTCCTCGGAGTTCTTGAGTAAAGACCGCTTTGTAAGTCGCCCTCCTCCGGTGCATCCGTGCGGCATGAAAACCACTTCCCATCCCACACATTTGCAGTATTTTCCTCTGGTCTGTGTCCTGTCATGAGGCGAAACTCTTAACAAAAGTTTTCTTTTTCCCGGTACAGAGTGAAATCGGGGCTTACGATTACCAGCTGTCCGGTGACCGAAGATATGTTGCATTTATGAGCAATCGTTCCAAGGTACAATAAGCTTTCGTCCACATCAATCACACGCATATTTAAACCGCAAACACTACATTCTCTGTTTCTTTTCCCCCCGTTAGCTGTGGCGGCATTCATTTACAGCTACATATTCACTCTATGACTGCGAACTAAAGTAAGTACACTCACAAGCGTGTGGCTCCCTGTAGCATGTTACATCCATGCATAATGATAAGGTAATAATGCAATGCTCATCACTTAAAAGCATCCACCAAATGGACCGTGTGTAACAGGAAAAGTGTTTGTTTTTTTAGAATTCTTTCTTTCTTTTTAACCCGCCTCATATCTCAGGAAATTTCTCACACCGTCTGACATTCCTGAGGAAATCCAGTACTTTGCTTGGGCTCCGGTGGGGAACAAACTGGTAAGCGTGTAAATGACGGCTGTTATGTGCAGAACTTTGACAGACTGTTCAGCTCTGAAGGTTGGTGGTGGATCAGGTGATCGATCAATTGGACAATAAGGGTTCAAACCAGGTTTGTTGTGGTCAAACCAGGCTGGCCTTTTCTTAACTCGGGTATTTGTGGTGTTAATGCATTTTCAGGCCTACGTTTGGGGAAATAATGTGTATATAAAGAGCAGCCCTGGATCGCCCCCGAAGCAAGTCACCCACAATGGCAAAAAGGATGTCATTTTAAATGGGATCCCGGACTGGGTGTATGAGGGTGAGTGCCACAGGGTGTAGTGACGGTAGTGGTATCTGTATCTGGATACTTTATATCATTTATAGATGTATTTTAATATTAGATGTAAACAGGGTCCAATGAACCACTAATAATGTACTTTTATTCATACAACAATTATCCAAAATAAGATGAACACAAAAAACATCAGTATTGGAAGGTAAGTACTTTAGTAGTATTTTATGTACTTTATAGTGGTAACTATACTTTGACCAGTGGTTTCTTCCCTTTGTCCTTTTGGGGGCCCTTGTCACATGAACCATTAACTGTTAAACCATTAACTCCAGTCTGCACTGTTCATATATATATATTATATATATATATATATAATATATATATATATATTACACTAAAACTGCAAAAAGCAAAAAGCAGTGAACTAGAATTTGTATATAATCCAAAATACATTGATACATTATTCGTAACTTTTCTGGTAAATTGTTGAGTAGTGCTATTTGCACTTTGAGAAAAGAAAAATACACTTTTTAGTATCTGTGCGGCACACTTGTGTTATCTTAGTAATGTAATAATGATGTGACGTTTTAATATAAATTTACTTTTTACAATTGTGAAATCCTTGCTTTCTCCATCAAGCCCCATTTCAGAAGGAATACAAATTCATTTTTGAAAATCATGAAGTCAAAAAGAAACCCAATATGGAACCAAAACCCTTACACCCCCCCAGGGAAGACCCTAAGCTCCACACTTTCCTCTTTACAGAGGAGATGTTCTCGTCCAATCAGGGGCTCTGGTGGTCACCTGAAGGGAAGTACGTGGCCTACGTTGAGACTAATGACACGGACGTGCACGCCATAGAGTACTCCTGGTATGGCGAGAACCAGTACCCCAGCACTGTGTCCATTCCATATCCAAAGGTGGGACTTCGTTTGACTCCTTAACAAACATGTACCGGGTTTGAAGTAATCAACCAACGTGTGTACCACCACGTCCTTTTCCACTGCAGCCGGGTACACCCAACCCTACGGTCAAGCTGTTTGTTGTGGACACCAACACGACGAGAGTCACTGAGGTTGTTGTTCCAGCCGCCTTCAGCTCGAGGTAACAAATCAGTGTCTCTGTTATTATTATGATCGGGGGAAAATAAATCAGAAATGAGTAGTCGCACTAGTCTTTGTTGCCCCACAGTGACCACTACTTGGCAACCATTACGTGGGCAACAGATGAACGCCTGGCTGTCCAATGGCTGAAGAGGGTACAAAACCACCTCATCCTTCAGATCTACAACTTTAGTGGAGCCGGCTGGAATCCCGAGGAGGTAAAACATGATGTTTAAATTGTGCACGGGCCGGAGGGACGCAACTGGTACCACACAGGGTAGTATTTTTAAATACCAGGCATATAGCAAGAACTACATATAAACGTAACAATACACAATCATGAGCTTTTCTTTTCAATGCTCCACATCACAAACTCTGGCCGCACACATCGTCCCTTTTGTTTCTGATCCTACTGGCGACCGACCGAGAGTCACAGCTGTTGATTTAACCTGGTTACAAAAGCGTGCTTCACAAAAAGTGCAAAAATTCTTTTGTGTGTTGCAACATCTATTTCTAACAAAGACTGATAAGGCATGTTTTTATAAACTGCAGTTTAGTGGAACTATACAAACAACGTGTATTTCTTTCTACAGCATCTGGAGGTGAAGAGTCTCACGGGTTGGATAGGCCGGGTATGACCAGTTACTCTTTATATTTTATCCCATTTTGTTTGCATTAAAGGCTGATGTTTCTTCTTTCCCAGCTCCATTAGACTCAAACCCCCCCGGATTACCCAAATGCTGCCTAAAACACCAAATTCGTATTATTCCGCTGCTGAAAATAGTCCCTCAACCACTACACCCCTTCCCGTGAAGATAATCCAGTGCCCGACTATTTTCAGCATCTTTATCTACTGTACTTTGTATTTTATGAGTCACCCTGTCGTTGACATCTGGAATAAGTCGGTTTGGAGCCGTAGAGAAGTGAGAGAATGCGTGATGAACATACTTTGTTCTTCTCAGTTCTCCCCACCAGAACCAGTGTTTGACGCGGACAAGAACAATTATTACCTGTTGATGAGCAACGCCGCCGGCTACAAGCACATCCATCACGTGGTTGGGGTAGGTACAATTATGTATGTTAGTCAGCAGTCCTGTAAAGCCCCGTCACATTTGCTCTTTTGCGAGAATTGCACAGTATGTTACAGAATATATAATACACCATATTATGCAGAATGCCTTGTTCTCTGCAGCGTGTTAGCACACACGCACATTTTGCTCTGACTCGTCACGCAGGGCGAAGCCACAGCGATCACCTCTGGAACGTGGGAAGTGGTGGACATTCTGAAAGTGACCGCAGATGGCGTGTAAGTTGCTGCATAGGACCTGGCGAGCGCTACATCTGCCTCTTGAGAGATAAAATAATGGATGTTTCCACACTGCAAGGCTGTATGCAGCTTCTGTAATAATCAGGAATATTGCAGAAATGTCTCATCAAATATTTTGTGTCTGCTGAGATTGTGCCTTAAATAGGATGGTTAGGAGCATATTGTCATCTGAAAACTCCTCCTAACAATTCTGCAGATATTATTCAAGTAATGAAGAGGGCAACAAGCCAGGAGGAAGGAATGTCTACAAGTAAGAGTCTTTATTTTACATTTCTAATATTAGGGTTTGTTATTTGCATCTTTGAGACAAAGCATTTCTCCAGACTCACAGCGTGTGTGCGTGTGTGTGTGTGTGTGTTTGTCAGGTGGACCAAACAAGGGTCTAAGTGTCTGACTTGTATGATACTCGAGTCAGACAAGTCAAACTGTCAGTACAACTCAGTCTACTTCAGCCACAATGCCTCCTTCTACCGACTAAGCTGCAGTGGTCAGTTCTACTTATGTGTCTCTTCAAATAATACAGGCAGTTGTATATCGCAAATTAAAGACAAGGATCATGATTATTATTACGTGTACACAATTTATGATGTACAATAAAAACCTGCGCTGTTGTTGTGATGTTTACACACAAAGGTCCGGGCATCCCTTACCATTCTCTCATCGATAACAGGGACGATAAAGGTGATCAATATCAAACAAAATATGAAATAATATCATTGAGGAGAAAATGTGATGAGCAGTGTACATTTTTTTTATGCTGTAGTGATCAATGTTTTGGAGGACAATAAAGCGTTTAGCAGCCTGATAGCTGACATCCGGATGCCCTCCATGCGTCGCCGCGCCATACAACTCGCAGGACACAGTGAGTGAATTCAACCATCGGGAAATCAACCAAATCACCGTGTGCAGATATGAGGGCGGTATCCGTCTCATCCACCCCAAGGAAAGAACGCAAATATCTTTCCCACCATCTTTCTGTTCTTTTCAACAGATCTCTGGTACCAGATGTTTTTGCCTCCAGCTTTCGATGAATCCAAGAAGTACCCTTTGCTAATCGACGTGTAAGTGTGTTGTAAGACGTTTTACCGTGAACGCGTTTAATATAGCAAGAAAGAAACGGGTCCCGAATGTCACCCGCCCACCCAGGTACGCCGGCCCCTGCAGTCAGAAAGCAGACTTCGCCTACAGGGTGAGCTGGTCCACCTACCTGGCCAGCGCCGAGAAGGTCATCGTGGCCAGCTTCGACGGGAGGGGAAGCGGCTACCAGGGCGACAAGTTAATGCACGCAATCTACAAAGCCCTGGGAACCTACGAGGTGGAAGATCAGATAACGGCAGTCAGGTAAGGAAAGCGAGGACCAGTTTAGACAAGTCAATGCTGCCCCCTCCCTCCCTCACCCCCTCACCCCCCTCCCTCCCTCACCCCCTCACCCCCCCGCCCGAACAAACAGCTTCACCTTCCGTTTCCCAGGCAAGCTTGAACAAACTGGATTTGACGTGTTTTTGAGGTTGAATTGCGGCCCGGTGTACACCGGCAAACGAGCAGGGAATCACCATGAGCCTCATGGAGTGTTTGGGGGGGGGGGCAGGCAGGAGAAGGGGAGCAGAGGGGCCCAGTCGACATCCTTCTCAACTACTGCCCTGTGCTGAGATGATTGTCCTTCTCTGTATTTTTAGGGAGTTCATCAAAATGGGTTTCATTGACAAAGACAGAGTTGCTATTTGGGGCTGGGTAAGTTCTCAAGACTTTGTACACGTTTAATAAAACCAAAAAGTTATGCAGAATGAAACGCATTAACTTCCAAGCACAGCGCCTACGATTTATTTTATTTTTACGTATCATATTAATATATGTAGATATTTGACTTCAAATGATGTGTATACTGTATATTTGTATGATGTTTTATGTCTCTGAAGGTAAAATAGAATAGAAAGAACACTGAATGACTCAGGATTTTTATTTATATTCCTGAGTCGGATCCCTAATCAGTTACCGGGCGCAGCTTTAAGAAACGGGCATTGCGTTATTTTATAGAAGTGTTAATGCTGCACTGAGGGCTTTGGATGAGCTACAGTCAACATGCTGGTTTTCTGTCTCAGTCTTATGGTGGATACGTGACGTCGATGGCGTTGGGATCTGGAAGTGGAGTTTTCAAATGCGGAATGGCGGTTGCTCCAGTGTCCAAATGGGAATATTACGGTAAGCTCTTCACCTCCCCGGACCGAAACACGCTCACCACGCGTCACACAATATCTGCGATAATCGCTCTGTTTGCTCCAGATTCCATCTACACGGAGCGCTACATGATGGAGCCCTCGCAGAATCCGGTGGCCTACGCTGTGAGCTTCCCACTCGCACACTCTCGTATCTGACGGCCTCTATTTGTCACGCCGTTGCCGTCGGTCACTAATAACCTCCGTTCTGAATGTGTGCAGAATTCCACAGTAACTGCCAGGGCCAAGAACTTCCACTCAGTGCAGTACCTCCTGGTTCATGGAACAGCTGATGGTGGGTTTTACAGAGCTGCTATTCATCTGGTAACAATTTAAGATATATGTTGCCCACTGATGCCAGTCAGGCTTGTTGGTTAAGGGCTGAAAATCACGTATTGAAGCTTTTCATCCTGCATAAGTATTGTTTAAACTCCCAATTAGTACTGAACAAGGCCAAACATGATCACAAATGACAAATTATAAATGTGGCAAGTTTGCACAGGAATAAAACCGGCGACATCCTCCAACAGATAACTAGTTAGCGACTGACATCTGCGTCAGGTTAAATGCAAACAAAGCTGAGAAAACAATTACACTTACCTTTAACCTTTAACCCTTAAGAGACCCTCTGACCTTTCTACACCAAAATGGACCTGAAGGCTTTGTTAATCTTTCACATTGTTTTGGTGTTTTCTAGACAATGTTCATTTCCAGCAGGCAGCTGAGATCTCTGAAGCTCTAGTGAATGAGCAGGTGGACTTTGAGGCCATGGTGAGGAATCCGGAACGCCAAAGACTGCAACAGCGTGGCCTAATGTCATTAAATAATACTCTTTTTTTTCTTGTTATCTATCAGTGGTACACGGACAAGGACCATGGACTCGGCGGCTCGGCCTATCAACACGTCTACACACACATGAGTCACTTCCTGCAGAGATGCTTTGCATAAAGTCCACTGGATGTCTCTTCACATCATGTGAATAACCAACAAATAGGGAACACAGTCCAATTGTAAATGCAGGCTTGATTATTAGTGCTCGCAACGCCAAGAAAAGCACAACATGGTACATGTCATTCTATAAATTTTGTGTTGCGTAAATTCAGATAAAAATGCATCTTGTCTGTAAATTTTAACTTGTATGCAATCGTCTGATTTGTTTTGTAAAATAATAAAGAATTAAATAGCGAGAACTCATTTTGTTTGAAATATCATGTTTTCCATTCAGTTACGGGCAAAACCATCATCACAATAATTATTATTTTTTTAAATGTTCCAACATAACAGTGGTTCCACGCTAGAAGGCGGGTGAGCACGTCACTAAGCTAAATGCTAATGCCAATATGCTCAAAGTGCCAATGGTAATGATAATGTTTAGCATGTATGCTATCGTAGTTTAACAATGTGAGCAAAGCATTCACATCTTCCTCCACTGTACTCTGTGTTTAGTGCTAATTATTAGCCAATGCTAACACACTAAACAAAGACACTATGGAAAAACATTCTGCATAGGTTGAGCATGTTAGCGTTAGCATTGTGGGGATGTGGTTGGGTAACTCCGGAGCAGATGGAGTGATTACAGGTGTGTAAATGGTTACGGCAGTGAGGAAATGGGGACGGGGATGTGAGGACGAGGCTGAAGAGGAGGGATGAAGGGACTCGCACAAAATAGATCAATGAATGAGGGACAGCAAAAAGCTGTTGTTCATAATCCAATTAGGGTTTTTTTTTGCGATCAGAACCTTTTTTATCCCTGATTACAAACTGTTCTGCATTCACCTCTCACAACATCTTTAGAGCATCTTTATGCATCTTCTTCTTCTTCATTGGTCTTTAATGGTGGTTTGCATCCATAAAGTATCACTCATGCCAACTGGCATAACTAGTGTTTTTTAATAAATAAAAATGAATTATACTGCAAGCGTTGCATTTTTCCACTTTGTATTCCTTTGTTTGTTTAATTTTTGCATACGCCGACTCTCGATGTATGCCAAAATAAAAAGCCTGTTCCGCAAAGTCAGTTTTATTGATGCAATTTTTTAACGTACTACAATTTCAAACAAGAAATGCAGGCTTGGTATGCTTGGTGTGTGCTAGCGGGAAATAACAGCCTGTTATAAATAAAGATGATTTCATCTGCCTGGTCTAACAATTAGCTTCAAGACTTTTTAGTGAATGGAATGAAACCTAATCTGAGGAATTCAGTTTTTTCCATATCTTTCAAAAGATGAAATAGATCCAGAGCTGCAGCCCGTGTGAGGGACTCACAGCGACAAGTGAACATTAATTCTTTACAGCATTCCTCTTCAAACAACGGCCCCCGCAAAGTAGAGATAACTGCCACTGATGCAAAGGAAAACACTTTATCCCGCATCTCCTCAATTTGATCAGAAAGAACCCACAAATACTGACTCACCTCCCAGATATGACATATCACTTCCCATCATGATGACACAGTAGCACATTAAGGCATCTTACCTGCTCTCGGCTCAACAGGATGAGCATGCGTGTGTTTGATCTTGACACCAGCTGGCGTCACGCATGAACGGCGTCTTTCCCCTCTGAGCAAACGCTCCGCTTGTTGATTCGGGGACCGCCTGTCTAATGGGTTGAGAGTAACAGGCGGACCAGGCGGAGTGGCGAAAATTGGATCACCCGAGCAGAGCCGTCCTCCTTCCTCCTGCTTACGGTATATAAGACCTCAACGTATGACGGGACGGCCAGAGACTGACACCGGGAACAAGTAGAGGAACTACCTGCACTGTTCTTTGGAAAGAGAGAAGTGAAGGTGAGCTGGGTTTTGTTGCAATGGTAAAATCACCTCTTCATCCAATATGCAAACTCTGTTTTCTGTATGTGTGTGTGTGCGCCGTTTTCTGGTGTAGATTATAACCATGAAAAGCATCCACTCCCTGGCTGGTGTTCTCCTGGTCCTGGGCTTTGTCCAGGGCAGCTGGCAGGTTCCTCTGCAGGAGGCTGATGACAGCTCAAGGTACAGAAATCCATGTGAAACAAACTTTTGTTTTACTCTTTAGACTGTTTTTCACTTCTTTTCTTTGCCTGAAAACTTCCCAACAGAATGGAGAAATAGAAAAAAACCTTTTGAATCTGTTCAAATGATAATTGTGGTTTAATACATGTCATGTGACATGTATTATGTCCCAAAGAGGCAGAACCATTTGTGGCAAAACTGCAGGCTGGAGGTGCAGGTGATCCAAAATATGCAAAACGATCGAGATAATCGAGCTGAAGGACAACTTATTGATCTTGTGACTTAGAAAACTCAAAATGTATGTATTTTAAAGAGAATATTAGGGTGCATCATTTTCTTCCAAAGAATTATGGTGCAGTGCATGTGGGATATTAAAAAGAAAAAAATCTAGCAAAAAATATAAAAAATGATGTTGCTTTACACCTGAAAGGTAAAAAAAAAAAGTGCTTCCTTTTGTCACCCTAAGTAAAAGTATCTTTACAATGTAGTCTACAGCCTATTTATTTAGGCCTGGTGTAAACTGGGCCCTCCCTGCTGCGCTGTAGCTTCGAGGCGGACGACACGTTAGCGGACGAGGCGCCGGAGCTGTCGAGCACCAAGAGACATTCGGAGGGGACCTTCTCCAACGACTACAGCAAATTCCTGGAGGAAAAGAAGGCGCAGGACTTTGTTCAGTGGCTGATGAACAACAAGAGGAGCGGGTCAGTGTGGGGAACCGTTTCAAAAAACATGGGCAGAGTTTGGGGGAAAGACTCGTTGAGCCAATGAAAAGAATTGCTTTGATTCGTTGGTGTTTTACATCAATGGAAAACGTCTAACAAAAATATGTAAAAAGCTCAAAAAGTGTTTTCAACTATATATATATTTTTTTTAATTTACTTTTTTTAATCTTTAAAAATGCAACAATTTTGAAAGGTTAAATCATTCCAAATCTTAATCCTAAAACTTGTGTGTGTGTGTGCGCAGGGCGGAAGAGAAGCGCCACGCTGACGGGACCTTCACCAGCGACGTGAGCTCGTACCTAAAGGAGCAGGCTATCAAAGACTTTGTGGACAAGCTTAAGTCTGGAAAAGTCAGAAGAGAGTAGGCTGACCCTTCCTCCCTCTCCTCCTCCTCCTCCTCCTCCTCCAGTACCAAAAACCCCCTAACGGCCTGTGTCTGATTCCATCGTGACGAGAGACAGAGACGAAAGAGCTAATCAACGGCTTCTTGTGCCTCCTTTTCTTTTTCACTTCTTTGTAACCCCCCCCCTCCTCCTTCATGTTCCTTGTGGTTGTGCTCAAATAAATCACGTGAACTTCTTGCACTGTGACGATTGTGTGAAATGATTTTTTTTGATCACAAAAAGTGCCGTGCAAGCGAACGCCGAACGAATCAGGGCGCCGCCAGGTACTGACATCTCGGGGGAAAAGAGAAATTTCCTGATGAAAACTGCACCGGAGGCCGAAGATCACATTTCGATTGGCAGTGTTTTTTCCACGCTGTCGGGCAAATCGGGGCCCTTATTGGCCGGCGTTTACATTGTGTGCCTGTGTACATACTCAGATCTGAAACGGGCGGGCGGGCCGAAGCTTTCAGCAAGAGGCATGTAGATGGCAGCTTCACCAGTGATGTGAACAAGGTGCTGGACTCCCTGGCTGCCAAGGAATATTTACTCTGGGTCATGACCTCCAAGCCGTCAGGGGAGAGGTAAAAAAAAAAAAAAAAACCCGTCGCACGGCCACGACCAATCCCATGATTCTCAGCGTGATTGTGGGTTTTCTCTCTTTTGCAGAAAGAAAAGAGGAGCGGACCAATGAGAGGCTCCTCCAGGACTCCCCGCTGTGCTCAAGGGCCATAAAACAGGAGGGATAGAAAGCCATACTGCTTCGCATGTCGTAACGTCAGCACTATATTTAAATTCTCTTCCATAGTTTCCCCGGTGACCCGGGGGGAGAAGACATGGAATCAGTGATTCTCAGGGGCACATTTTTTTGTACAAATTTTAAATTATTTTCTATATTTTTAAGCAGAAAACAAGAACACAACAGGTGAAATCTCAGGTAGACCAATAGAAAACATGAGTAGGGTAGATGCTCTTCATTGCATATTATTCATTCGCTCTGCAAAATAAAGTTTTTCAATGTGCGTTTGTGGGATTGTTTTTGGATCATAATAGCTCTCAATGTGTGATATTGGATTTTCATTCATTGTGTACTTGGTCTGTTCTAAAAACACTCACATGTACGGCATCTCACTTTCTTTATGTTTTGCATCTAAAGACGTCAGAAAGATGCCGTAATGGGAGAGAACTATGTTGAATAACTTGATGTGGACTCTGACCAGGGGGACGTTGAGGATTATCGTATTTATAAATGGCCCATTTGTTGTTCCTTGAAAAGGAAATTGATTTCTTTGCTCAATCATGATCTTTAAAAAGTAACAAAAGCACCATAGTGGCCGCACTCCGCCTTTAAAACTTGCTCAGATTTATTCAGCGCTCACGCATTCCAGTGAGTCAATAAAAACCACAGCGAGTGGGATCAATTCTGTTTCCGTTCGATATGTCATCACTTTACTATTTTGTTCTATTAGACATTTGTGTCTGTTGTAGCCTCTTTCATCTCTACGAGATCAGGAACCAAAAAGCCACAAATCACAATTCAAAACAGGCCTTTGCAGAATCCTAGCAGTATTTCTGGGAAGAGGTTTAGTCTCTCGTGGAGCATCATGGGTCCGAGGCACAACTGTGACCCTCCACCATAAGGCGAGAGGATCTTCTGGGATGGAGCCTTGGAGCTCCTCCTGGGGACAGAGTTTGAGACCAGGATGCAGCGGATGGACTACCTCCCAAAACAGGACGGTGCCAGGTGCCCTCATAACTACCCGTGGACGCGTATCAAAAAAGTACCACAGCAGTTGAGCGTCTCTTGTTTAACATCTTTATTTATGCTCTCACTCACCCACACTGTCGTTCTCAGAAACCAAATCAGAAAGTGTACAGCGATCACTACCAAATTTAAGGCAGAATTTTGCACAGAAGTGGTCAAAATATTTGATATTGATATAATTCGGACCACTTATTAGTTTCCCTACTCAACTAAGAACCATCACTTACAATGGGAAAAAGAACATCTACGACAAATAAAGCCTGACTTCATGTTAGTAATATATTAGTGACATTTCACATGAATAAAATATACTATGTATTGTACATTTTTAAGACTCTTTACCGTTTATTACATGTTGCCTTTCCCAGAAAAAGGTAGCCTATTATTGCATCTTTAGAAGTAACCATTGGTCCTGCAGCGAGACAGTCGTCGGTTCCCCCCCGTCATGCAGGTCTTTTTTTTTTTTTTGAACAATTAACTTCAGATGCGAACACGATGAGGGTCAATTTGGACAGGAGATCACATGGCCATGGATGACACTTACTGACGACATGACAGATTGATGCAGAGTTTTCTGCGCGCTCACCACAGCTCAGCGCTGGCGAGCTGGGCGGCTTTTTTAAAAAAGGCAACGCCAAGTACTTTTCTATTCTGAAATTACAAGCTGGAATAGTTTTCCCAAAGAGATGAAGACGGCCAACAAAGGAACAGTTAGCATTAATATGCTAATTGGCGTGAGTTAGAGGAGAAGACGAAAATCTCTCCTGTGTGCGTATGCTAAATCTGAAGCTAAGCTAACTTTGCTCGGCTAGTTGGAGCTTTATAATTTGGCACACAAACAAGAGAGGGGTAATTGATCATCTCAACCAACAGAAAACGTGTATTTCACAGAATGTCAAACTATTCTTTGGGAGAATGCGTGAGTGGAGGAGAGACATCTTTGTTTGTAAAATAGCGTTAGAGACTCTGGAGCGATATGAGCTTTCACTGTCACAAAAACATTTAGATATACAGAATATAGAAAATGTATATTTAATACTTTCAAAAAATTACTACTAGATTTGCCATACAGCCAACTCCTTTGGGTACCAGTGTGATAGATTAGTATTGGCAAATGTCTACTTTATAGGTTATTGTGAGGTGTGTCGTAGTCAATAGCGGCATTAAATGATGCTGACGAATCCACATGTTTGCAGTTTGCTGTGGCAACACTCTGTTGTTGGAAAAATATAAAAACATACAAAATACAAATAAAGTAAATTTAAAAATTGTTTAAAATTTGTACTTAATTGGCCCATTGTTACAGACGTTACTGTATATGTTGTATTATTCTGGCTTCCCTCTGTTGCTAGCATCACCAAACACTGATATACATAGAAAAAAAGAACAAAACGGTGTCTCAGTTCCTTGTGTTAATACTGTTTCTAACAAATTCTTTGTTTTACACAACTTGCACACAGACTTACATGACAAGAACACAGTGTAGCACAGTACAAAGGTGGTTGAGTGTGGCGCGGTAAAGTGTTTTTTTTTTGCCTTTTTTGATTTACTAATCGATAGCACAGTGGCACCGCCAGTACGTCTCATCACAAACTCGTCTCCCGGTCCAAGCTCTTGTCATGCCTCCGCCGCTTGTGGCGCTTTTCGCCACCACCACTGCACGGACAAATAGGTGAGAAAAAAATAAAACCAAGCCAAATGCTAAACAGAGAAACATTTAGTTTGGGTTCTTCACAACAGAAAGTGCAGATGCTTTGTCAACAGGCTGAAGGTTAATCAATCAATCCACATCACAAAGCATGCACATTGTTTTCTCTAGACCGTTCACCCCAAAATCAAAAAAAGACCCTATTTATCTACTTGGATTGTTTTCGGTGGGAGTGCAGGTGATCTCGGCCGTAAAGGCGCCTGCCTTTTCTCCAGTATAATCACCATCATACAGCAATCATTGTGCACAGGGAGAACATAGTTCCTATAAAAGTGCTCACAACAAGGTCTGTGACTTCGTTAAATGACATCTGGAAGGAGACACTGCTGTTGAGTTTTTTTAAATGGATCTTTTGTTGTTGCTCAGGTGAGAGGAAAATGTTGTTTTTGGGGGGAACTCTTCCTTTAAAAGCAGTTTGTCCTACAACACAATCTTGTCACATTGAAATATATAGAGCTGGTTATTTTACTACTCTTACAAGACGCAAAGGACATCATAAAGTTTGCCACTGTAACATGCAGACTGCGGCCATGCTGCGTTGTCATTCCACCAACAATCACTTGATTTGACTCCACCTATTTAGTAATCATGCAAACAGCAGTGGACAGAAGACACAGGACGAGAGTCTCCATGCCGGCAGCGACTGGGAACGACTTACCTTTGGGATATCAGCTTCTGGGAGGTTAGGAAGGGGAGCTATGGGTTGGAATGGAGTGAGAGAGGCAGGCGGGAGACACTATGTTAGTCTACTCGGTGGGACATCAGTGAGGGCAGGGCTGCTCTTAGATAAACCTTTGTCATTCAAACACACTAGCTTCTCAGTTTCCTGGAAAAATAAGGAGTAAATGTTCCATAACAGTTCAATAACAAACACCTGCCGCTGCGTGCTCTCACGCCCTGAGACACTGGTTCTCAACATTGTTTCAACCCCCTGTGAAGTAGGTAGCCCCTCCCCCAACTACTGTGATCAAGCTGTTCTTGATTGACAGGTGGCATGTTGAGTCAAACCATCCCAACATGGGGAGAATGTTTGTTTTTTTACGACAATGAAATTGAAAAGCCTACTGAATATACAATTCAATATATGAACTTACACTTATATTTCATTGAATATTTATTAAACAAGGATCTTTGAATGGATGCTCACTTTAAATATACAGTTTTTAAACTCACGTACCCACTGGAGTGCTGTCACGTACCCCAAAGGGTACATGAACCCCCATTTGAGAACCACTGCATTAGGACACCATTTTGGCCTGATGTATACTGAAGATATTGAACAGAGATACTGAGCTGTAAAGTGTGCGAGTGGTGTGGATAAGGAAGTTAACCTTTTAGCGCTTGGTTCCTTCTTGGTGGTCTCGGCAGGGTTGACGTTCTTCCACACACTCCCGAAAGATCCCTTAGACATCTCATCAGTGATGTTTACCGTGGCCGGGTCACACCTTCAAAGCCAAAAGCAACGGGACGACAATGATTATTCCACCTCGAATTGGGTTTTCTGCAAGGAAACATGCACTCTTGAGGAGGAAGGCTGATAACTCCAGGACGCGCTCGCATCAAACTTCCAGCTGTGGGATTCTTGATGCATGAACGTTTTGGGAAGAGAGCGTTAAATGAGAAGAAGGATACCACTCACGTACCTTTTCTTAATTAGCTTAGCATAAAGACTGGAAACAGGTAAACAGCTAGTCTGGCTATGCTTAAAGCAAACCACATATATTTAGCAGCTTCTTTAAAACTTAAAATGTTCAAATGAACAACTTGTGTGCTATCGGCCGTCTCTCTGTTGCTCCATTCTTAACCTTGATTAACTTAACCTAAATTGGAAGATGGATACCGAGTGGCATATTTCCCTGCTGACAAAATTGCTCTTGAAGGAAGCTCGGGCACCCGATTAAAGACCAGAATGACTTACTTGAAGGGTCCCTCAAGTGGCAGTTGTACGATTCCTTCTTCCTCTACAATAATGCTGTGATCCTCCTGGAGAAAAAGACAAAGGAGAAGATCGGAACCACTGCATGGACAGCTGCTTTGCCGCCGCAGTGGGGGGGAAACTTTGAGTCATCAGGTGCTCCATCACTGCACCTCTTCTTCCGCATCCTCCAGTTTCTTCTTCTTCCACTCTGGCATCAGGTCGTCCAGCCAACTCAGTTCCCGCTTGGTGAAGATCAAGTCCAGCAGCTTCCGAATAAACACCAGGGCCAAGACCTGGAGCAGCGCACACACACACACACACACACACACACAGACAGTTCTCGTACACGCGGTAAACACTCAAAGACGCGCGCAAACGCAACCCGGTTACCATCATGGGGAAGACGATGGCGGCCTTGGAGGTCTTGATGACCCAGAGCAGGACCAAGCAGCTGAGCTGGACGATGGTAAAGAGGTGCACCTTCCTCAGCGGGACGTGGCGAAGGTAGATGAAGTCTGGCTGATGTTTGGCCGGCATGGTGAACAGCCTCAGGCGGTCAAAGAACTATACGGATACAAAGAGAAAATATAAAATCTCTTCTGTATTCTGTCTGGTCTTCTAATAAATACCAGCATGCGGGGTTCTGAGCTCACCTGGATGCCTCTGAGAGAAGAAGCCCCCATGTACAGAAAGACTCCGTACAGCACAGGCATGGGGATGAACTGGAGAAACACAGACACGTCAAATGAAAAAAGGCTTTAAATCACTGCGCGGGTGTGTACTTTAACGCTCGCGCCCCGACCTTAAGCACGGAGGTCATGAAGACGGAGCAGCCCATCAGGGTGAAGATCATCAAGCCGGTGAAGCGCTGCTCTCGGATGCCCAGGAACTTGGGCTGCTCGCCGGGGGCCGAGCACTCAGACTCCAGCTTCAGGCTGTTCACGTGGGAGATGGAGAGCACGGTGGCAGCCACGAACCACGGCAGGCCCATCACCGAGCACACGCCCAGCATCACCCCCACCACGAACAGGTCCAGGTGGTAGCCGCAGCCTTTCTGCAGGGGGCCGGATGAGCACAGCCGGGGTGAAGCGCGTTAGAACTGCGTTCGTTTTGGTCATTTTCGTGACGCGGCGATTCGAGACGAGGCTTTTTGAAACACCTTTAGCTTGTGCTCCTTCCTGTTGATGATGACGGCTGTGATCTGCTGGTCCATGAAGATGAGGATGGTGCAGAGCAGAGCAGGGAGGAGGGTGATGATGGTGGTCCACCAGGGGTTGGGCCCCACGGGGTTGATGAGCCAGCCGCGATCGTCTCTGGTCGGCTGGGGAGAGAGAAAATAAAAGTAGAAATGATCTTTTGAGGTTTCCAAGAGACAGAATACTTCTTTAGGCTACAGGTAACACTAGTTGAGTAATTTGCGATTCATGAATCAAAGGATTGACAGAACTTATGTGCAGGACATAAGGAACGTAAAGTTTGAAACGATAAATAAGATGATTCTAGCTGAGAATTCCCCAACCATTCTGAAATGCTTTCTATCTGTCGCTCAAGGAGGAATCATATATTCCATGAATAGATTCCCTGAAGAAATGAAGGAGAAGACTGCAAGTTGACAAAGCTGAATATTCACGCTGCAAAAGGCTGGGGTAAGATTATAGCAGCAATATGCCACTGTTAAAACAACGCGAACATCTAAATCACATTCTCATTGTGCATTCTCTTTAGATTCCATGCATCAAACACACGGGGTCTCTCGTGTGGACTTACTTTGAACTTGTTGGGGACCTGCAGTTTAGGCGAGGGGATCCCCAAAGCGTAGTCAACAAGAACCATAGTGAGGATGGTGATGAAGACGGCAAAGTCACTAATGATGGCGCGCACCTGGAGGGAGACACACACACACTGGCTTCAGACAGAAGACAGAAGTCTGGCAGCTCAGACTCCTCCTCGGTATCAAACAGTACGTCTGAACTTTCAGGGCCAAGCAGGTCACACGACTATCGACTCGATTCGCTCCGCTTTCATCAACAGGTCTGTGTTTAGTTAACACCAATGTTACCGACCTTTTAATGTGATGTAAATATGTAATAAACAACTGAGCCAAACTCTACTTTTGTAATATCTACATATACTTATTATATTTATTATTTATATTATATATTTAGGAGCTTATTTATAGAGGAGCTGAGGCAACAGGCAGTTGACAACAACAGGACAAGTCCCACCTCTTTTATACAAGCCTGAAAAGTCCCCGCTGAAGGATACACCGAGCATCCATTAAAGTGAAATATTCCTCAGTTAATCCAAATTTACTGGCAATCTAATTGTTGCACATTCATCAACCACACGGTGGCGCTGGTATTATTGCTGGCATAGAGAATAGAGCGGCCACACAGGCTGAAGGCTTTCTGCTCCGCTGTGAAGCGTCCAATAGATGGCAGCATGAACTTAAATGGCACAAGAAAGAAGTCGAGCCGCGAGAACCGTTACAAAAAGAGACGTAAATGAGACTGTGAAACCACGTCAAACGGGAAGCCTAAAAGAGGGAACGTTTCAAGTGATCAAGCAGGGATTCAAGCAAATGGCCATATCACTGAACCACACTGAATCTAAAAGAAATGTGTATCTGTGTGTTCAGATTTGAGTTATTGCGCCGAGAAGGAACTTATAAACAACGCGTGCCTCGGCACAGAGATGTCAGCGTCCATCATTTTGGTGTTTTTTGCAGACCGTGGTTTTGTTTTGCATTTCTTTGCAGGCCTCTTTCTTTGGTTGTTTTGTGTTTCCTTGTGGTCATTTTGTGGGTCTCTGCTGTTATTTTCTCGCCTGTTTGGACGAGGCACGTACCTTCGTGGGGAAGTAGCGGCTCGTCTTGAACTCCTTGAGGAAGGCGGACATGAAGACGGTGGAGAAGAAGAGGACGACGCACCAGAAGAGGACGTCGGGGACGTAAGGGCCGTGGGGGCCGCAGGCGCTGCCCTCGAACTCTCCGTGAAAGCTCTCGCACTCCTACTGGCACCACAGGACACGGTGATGATGAAGATGAAGAGGGTGATTATAATGATCACGTTGGGGATATTAAAAGTGATAAGAATGTGAGTGGTAAAAATGGCAATGATGAATGTCGCTGTCAGTGGTCTGAACCATCTGGTACGTTCATTAGTCGTGATTTAATCAGCGCTGTATGCTTTGAATAATCATATGGTGTGATTGATCTCTTTCCACACGATCCCCGTGGCCCCCCGTGCCTTCCTATTGGTCTACGTTATCTCTGTCTGGCTTCCAGAGAATCCGCTCTTCACACTTATTCTCCATGCTCGTTCCGCATGGCTAAATCCTGTGAAATCCTGCCCACGCGTTGTTAATCCCTGACTAGACTTACGTTGCTTCCTGATGATGCAAAGTGTGGGAGCCGCCACAAGCTGCCAGAGACGGCGAGAAATATCCCCAACTGTTTTTGATTGGGTGTTAATGAAGGCCGGGCTTAGCATTAGCATCGAGAACGTCTTTGGATAACACGGACATGATTAGAGGTCTACTTGAACACGAGGTCATGTAGCCTCTCGAGGCCTTAGACGACCTCACGCAGAGCTCTTCTCCCTTTTCAAATGTCACGGGTGCCTTACCTTGACCTCCAGCATGGTCCAGTTGACCTGGGAAGCTGTGATGTTCTTCTCGTCCCAGAAGAGCAGGGTCTCATTGCTGGGGTTCATGGGCTCCACACACGCACACCTATGAAAGGATATTCTTTTGTTAGTTTTCTTAAATACCCACAATAGGAACACAATGAATATGGCCTTAGTATTTGTCTTTTTCAATGTTCGATATGTCTTCTTGGGCTTATGGAGCTTTTCCAACGTTCTGGCATTTCAGTGGTCAAATCAAATGGCACTCCCACGCCGCGTTACACACCACTTTATCAACATGTACGATTGCGTTAGCATCCACTGCTGCCCACTGCCCCCGGAGAGATGGCCACAGAAGGAGCTCTTGGCCTGACAGAACCACTCGCCAGATTATGTGGATAATGCGTGATGCTGCTGACACACACTCAACATTGGATTATTCACCATAAAGCCCATTTCAGAAAAAACAACAACTGGACAGCGCATGTACTGTAACGCGGCACAATCTGTTGTTTGATGATGCACACGTGTGTGTGTGTGTGCTTCACGGGTCAAAGCAGATATCAAAAGCAACAATTAGCATTTTATCCTCTTATTTTACTAGAATCCGACCCGGTGACCCCGGCAACAAGCGTAAAGAATAACCATATAGAAATAGCCAATCTTCTTCAGAAATGGGCGCAGGTCATTCATTTATTCCGCCTCAAGTCAAAACTGTCTAAATCACTTCAAAACTGTAGATAATGAGTGCTAGTAATTGATTTCACAGCCCAGAAACCTTAATAAACAACAAACAAACAGAAAGGAGCACTCACGAGTACTGCGTGAGCTTCTGAAGGTCGTTGTTCTTATTGATCGGGTAGTGCACCCCCAGGTGGATCAGCTTCTCCAGGGCCTCATAGATGAAGATGATGCAGATCAGCGAGGCGAAAGCTTCCTCGGTGAAGCGAGTGATGTAACAGACAAGTGAGCTGGCGTCCGTCGCCACCAGCAGCAGACACAAGAAGGCCGTCCACAGGCCGATACAGGCCCTCAGGGAGAGGTAGGAGAGGCCATACTCCCTGGGAGGGACGGGACACGCACAGGAGATACTTACGGCACCGCCGCTCAAGCAAAAAGCCCACACGTTCCACACTGGGATACTCTACCGTAACGCAGCACGATTTGTACTGGAATGAATAGAGAACAAGAAGACAACCTACTTGCAGAACTTAAAGAGGATTTTCTCAAAGACGAGGACAGGCCCGGTGCTGCCCAGGATGGTGAGGGGCTGACCGGCAAAAATAGAGTAGGCTATTCCGGTCATCGACGCCCCGAACAGTGACTCAATCGCACTCTGGGAACACAGGGAGAGAAGAGCTCTGGTTGGGCAACAATGTCACTTCTCTCAGTTACACAGTCGCCGTGGGGCGCTGAGCCGTTTGCGAACGTGCTCACAATGACGATGCACTCCCGCTGACGTTTGACTTCGGGCATTTGTTTCAGAATTAAGAAAAAGATCATTCCAAATAAAATGTTTATTGCAATAATCTAACAACCCAAACCAGGAACATAACCTTGCTCACAGCTATGATGTGTGGTAAGAGTTTGACCTCATTTGGTAAAGCAACTTGTTTGTCTGCCAGCTAATTAGCTATCAACAAATTGGTAATTATTATAATGTATTATGCTTTTTTAATATACCCTGATCTATTTTCACCCAATCGATCAACTCCAAACAGCAAAATGGTTCATTCCTTGCTTGAACAAATATTAAAACTTTGTTTAAAAAGCATTTCTTTAGGAACGTAAAGGATGATTAAACTGGTGATGCTGAGCAAAGCAATCTCAATTCTGATCAAAAATGTAATTATGATTATATAATGGCACGATGCGGAATCCTTTAACAAACACCATTTCCCATAAGCACTAGACAATGGTGGTGTGAGATTACCACACAAAAGCTGGAGAAACGACCTTGGAAGAGTGTTGGTGAGCTTTTTGGCTTATTGAATTTTGAATACAACGGCTGACGGGTCAGCATTACATTTGCAGGTATTTGCAAAATATTGGACTTACCAAAATACTAAACGAAACCAAATGTGGCAATCCATCCAGCAGTTTGTAGACATTTCGCTCAAAACAAACAAAAAAATGAACCTCATGCTGTGGCTGAATCGGGTCAGGGATCACCATTGCTATATTAGGATTCTTCCTCTGGGTACCATCGATATCTGTGTGAAATGTACTGGCAATCCATCAGATATTTCAGTCTCGACCAAAGTAGTGAAACTGCCAAAAAAAATGACCGGCATCCCTTAAGCCTTGACTGCTAACAGCGCAAGCTCATCGTACCATATCAGCTGCTGATGAAAGAGCGGTTTATGGAGCTTAGTGCGGCAAGATCAGACATTCAAGGGAGGGCGTTGGTTTGGTCTCAAACTGCCTTTGAGCTTTTGACTTCAATGACCGTACAGTGACGGAGTGACGGAGCTCACAGCTTGTTTCAGGAAAGAAAAATACGATGGGTTACAGACGTGACTGTTCATGTCTCGGGAGCAGTAAAGATGTCGCCTCTTACCACACGTCCTTCCGTGGCCTCGCCCAGGAGTCCTCCAAAGGTGATGACCGGCGACATGCAGGCGCAGTAGAGGAAGAGGAACGAGGCCAGACACTGCAGGCTGATGGCGTCTGTGAAGTCGGACAAGTAGTGGGGGGCCTTTCGCTTGATGTCCATGAAGAAGCCCCCGAAGAACCTGAAGAGGGGATTTCATTAAACAGTGGTTTGCACAATGTATGCACACATGTGAATTAAAGCGTAAGAGGCCAGTGTATCAATATCTTTATATGTTTTTTGTTGTTTTACTAAGTGTGTGAGCATTTGTGTGCCGACTCATGCTTCTATTTTGAGGGACCTCAGGCAGAGCGAGCAGGCTCTTCTGCTGCAGCGTGCCGGGGCCGCGCTGAGCCAGCTGGAGACGGTTGCTATGGAAACAGCGGATGGGACGTGGTGCTTATTTCGGTCTGAGGCACCGATGCCGTGCCACCGGAGGAGGTGGTGGTGTTGGTGGAGGTTGATAACTGGGACAGAGCTTCTGGCCAAACTTAGCTGGGATAAGAGCCTTGCAGCACCACAAAATCCCAAATCCCTTGTCACTCGGGGATTTCTCCTTCTTTCTCATCTTTGATCCCTTCTGTAAATATTAATGTTTGCCTCTTCAAATTGTCAATCAGATCATGTTTGAACTGAAAATCTTGATGTTTAGACTTTTTCTCAAGGATTTATAAACTGAAATGATTACATTTTTTACTAAATAACTAACGCTCGGCTGTGGGCCGCACACTTTTGTCTGCATGAGTCAATAAAAAATATACAAAAAACTCCTCCACACCTCAAGTACAATTGTCAACAAACAGTGTGAGAACCTTTCTTGTTACCAATCGTGTGATAAAGTAAAACCTGAATTTGTTAATTAAAAATGTTCGAATTGAAGGTTTAATAAAATTAATTGGCCGGTTATTAACATTGATGACATAGTTATTATAAGAAGGAGAGCAGTGGTGGATTAATTCAATGGTAAATGCAGCGCACTTTTATTGCGTTTTTCTAGTTTTCCGACCAATCAAAGCACTTTAACACTACACGTCTTCATTAACACATTCACACTAATTCATATTCTGATGACAGGATGCCATTTGGGGTCATTACATTTTTTCCAATCCTTGCTTTTCTTTTACATTTTGGACAATTTAACCTCAGTGGGCCAGGAAACGGTTATTTAAATGGAATCATGAGAGACATTTTAAGGAGAAATGTTTCTTTGGTTTATGGGGCAAACAACTCATAAGTCGAGCTTCCATCCAAACATATTTTTTTGGGGAGGTCGGAAGCTGCACGGCACACATCACGCCGGGTGTCCGTCCGACACTCACCTCCCGGTGCGCTGCAGCTCCGGGCCGCCGTGCCCGCCGTGTTCCTCCGACTCTCCGAGATCTGTCACTCCGTTGGGGACGGGGGGGACCTTCCGCTTCTCCTGTGTCGTTAAGATTACTGTCAGTAAACATCAACATCACCACGACAGCAACTCGCCGACACCAGAAGTTACACGAGGCGTAGGGGTACCGAGTGTAAAAGCCCTCTGAGGGACATTTGTGATTCGGGATGCTGGACCGCAGGAAGATAAATTGTGTGGATGGCGGATTTTAAAAGTAGACCGAATTAACAAATGGAGGAAAAATAAGAGAATGTTTGGGAGAGGATTGAGAGCAGAGCCCAGGGGAGCGGCATCAAAGCACATAGTACGACGCGGGCGAGATTAGAGGAGAGCGCAGATGCTTCGGTATTTCTCAGCAGGCAGTGCGACGCACAGGGGGGCGGGAAGCAACGCTGATGCAGATGGTCAAAGTTGAGCCGTTACATCGGAGAGGATGGAGAAAAAGAACGGTGTAACTTTTTTGTTCGTCGCGTATGTGGTTTACCTGAGACGGCACGTTTTTGGGAGGCTCTATTCTGATGGAGGGGTCCCACTCTCCGGGGGGCAACACTGTCACCTGGTCCAGAAACTCATCGATGCCGGCCACCAGGTCGTTCCTGTCTTTGGCCTTGTAGGCAACGTCATGGAAAATCTGCGGCGCAAAACAAGGGAATAATCTACTTTTTTGATCCGCTCTTCGTAAGGGAGCTCGAGGGAGCCCAGCGAGAGAAAAAATTAATTGCGGTGATCCACATTCTAATTCTGCTCTGAATGTGGTTTGAAAAGTCTGATCTAAAAAAAAAATCATCAAATGACAGAATAATTGTTTAGTGTTTGTTGTTGTGATACTGATTTTGGCCACAAGGAGCACCATTAGGTGCATCGCTACGGTAAGTTGCAGTATACAACTTGTTAACACACAAAATAAGATTGTGATCAGAGTGAATGGAGAAATTAAAAACCACCTGGAAGCATCGATGAATGTCATGGTGTTGTGGCTGAAATTAGTATGACAACAAGCAACACTAACATTTAAAATAAGTCTTTCATCTTTTTTGCCGAAAAGAAAATGTGTGGAAGCTTAGAAAGATTATTCCGTCACATGAGAGAAGAAGAAGAAACATTTTAATTATAAAACGCAGGTGACCAATTTTTTCTCAGGATTTTAATGGATTGAGAGAAGTGCATACCAGTGCCAAAAAATGTTTATCTAGCTATGGATTACTAATATGTCCATAGATAACAGTAACAGAATAATGAAATAACTTATTCATCACTCTGATTTCCCCATTGTTATTGAATAAAAACAATTGAAAAAACCCAAATACAAATCATGGGTGCAATTCCCATTTATGATGACTGATGACAGTCAGACTATTTCTATTTTCATGCATCCCAGAGGAATGCTGCCAACAGAAAAACAACATCTGGCTCTGATGATGTCAGTAACATCAGCCCGTAGCTGCACTGTGGGAAATCCTGTCACTGTTTCCATGCCTGCTGGTCCCGAAAGGCTTCTGTAGCTTTTAACGGAGGTCAAAGGTCGGGTCAGTTAGAGAAAAGTACAGTTGGTAGGTGAATCTTTGATTGATGGGATGGTTTATCTGCTCCATTATAGACATTTAACCATAACAAATCCATATAGGTAATATATGTACTTTTTTTCTTATGAATCTTTTTAAATATGATATGAATATGTGCTAAATGTGAAATAAGATATTTTTTAGTACAGACTAATAAAAGTATATCGATTTCATTTGACAATTTGATATTAACCTGGTCAAAATGTGGGCAGATGGATAAGTTGCATTTCAAAAGTCAGTCTGCACTCTGAGGGTTATGAAGCAGTGTCCCGTAACACACGGGCAACGTACTAAATTTATACTATAACAGTCGTATCAGCTGTTTCAATAAACTTAATTTTTTTTTACATATTGTCACACAGGAGGAAGTCGTCACCATTTGTCTCATCTGAAGTTAGAGAATTTAGATTCTGAATTATATTCTGTTACCAGCAGCCGCACCTGAAAGAGTGCACAGGGTTAGGGAATCTGTAAGAGAACCCTGGTTATGCTATTTATTAATCACAACATTTTGGCAGAGCTCCAGGTACTACAGCTTTCAATTAGATGAGCTTTTATAATTTCTTGAGAATTAGATTTCCTCAGTTTTGAGCATTCAAGTCTTAATTAGGAAAAGAAGTCCTCATTTTATTTTTATCTTCCTCGCATTTACACATATCTGCTTCTTGTAAATAGAAAGTTGGATAGCTGCATACTTCTTCCAGCCCTTCCAGCACCAACATACAGCTGGAATTGGAAGTTTAATAACGTTCTAGGCCTCACCTCATCCGTCATCAAGGTAGCAATAGACCGGCCAATTTCATGATACTGTGGACCTTTTCCCATCGGGCCGAGCAGGATGAAAAGAAACCTGTGTTGCACAAAGGAAAGCAGGTTTGAGTAAAAGTCAAATCCATTTCTAATGAAGCATTGAGGGGATTATCGGCTTATCCATCCGGGCTTGAAACAGTTGACAGAGAGAAAGTGAGGCAGAGGCGTGCAGGGGGCTTTTCAGCAGGTGGTCTGTGACCTGGTGGTGATGGGAACCTCAGCCAGGCCGTTGAGCAGCACAGCAGGAGACAGGCGGACGAAGGCCACCACGGGGCGTTCCAGGAATTCCAGCTCCCCAACCAGGACGTTAGACGCCTCAGCGCCGGGAGGGATCTTCTTCATGAAGTGCAGGTCAATCTGTGACACAGAAGCAAACCAAAATGGCCCAAAAGATTCATGTTGTGCTGTTATGCCAATAGAAGGTAGTGAAACGGGACATCACTGAAAATCTTCTCTTTCCAAAACCCCGGCTGAATCTGAAGATCCACACAACTAAAGAATAAAAAATTTTCTCCTGGTGTTCGAGTTGGTTTCCCATTGCATGGTGAATATTTCCCACGTAACCCGACCACGTTTAAACACACAGCACTAGTTGTGAGTCCAGCGATCAGTGGCCGTGGATAAACAAGGGGACCAGCGGTGGGTCTGGTCGCTCACCTTGCTGAAGTCCACGGCGCTGTTTTCTCGGCTGACGTCCTGTTTTCCCTCATTGTTAGACGGCTGAGACTGAGGCGAGACCGTTTGACCTGTCGGGCATAGCAGGAAGCCAACATCATGTCAACTTTCACGGAGGTTCGGCCTATCACAACACTACTCTCCCACACAAAGACAAAGGTCTCCAGTGAATGACTAGAGGGTACAGTTACGTTCTCTGAAAAATACGATACAACAGTGGACCCTTTTGTTGTAGAGGCTGTGCCTTTATTGGTAAAAAAGGTTCAGCCCTAGTGACAAAAGATATTATTGTAACTTGTTTCAGAGTGTACCTGGTGAGTTGGAATCATATTAATCCGAGGGATGCTAAGTGGTGCAGTGGACATAGAGAGAACTTACGCTCTAATTCCCCAAATAGATTTAAGTAAGTTAAATGAGGCACAATCTTTAGCTTATTAAGTGCATCAACAAATATGTTTTTTGTTTTAGTTTTGCTGAAACAAAGTCAAAGATTGATCCTTTTTGAAATGCAAATCTCAAGCAGTTTGTGGTGTGAATGCAGCTGTACGAGCAAATCACAGCACAAAGAAATAAAAAAATGAGGCTCGCTCAAAATGTCCCACGGAGTGATTTTACTTAAACGGTTAGGGAAATATTCTTAAGATGCTCTCTTGCAGACAGTTAGATGAGAAGATTGACACCAACACCGAATGTGTCAGTTCAATGGGGCGACAGTAAAGCTAGCAGCCGTTTGGCTTAGCTTAGCTTAGCATAGCTAACTGGAAACAGCTAACAGCTTTAAAACCAAATCTGGTAACAAATGGTGACAGCATCTCCAAAGCTCACCATTGGTGAGAGCCAGACTAGCCGCTTCCCCGTTTCCAGTTAATTAAAGCTAACTTGTGCTGCTGGCTGTCGCTTTGTAGTTAGCATTAGGACACAAAAGCGATATCAATCTTCTTGTCTCGTCCAAAATGTCAAAATATTTCTTTGAGGAAATTATTTGGCAAATTCGTGTAGTAACATTCTGAGAGTTAAATGAGAAAATCGATACCACTTGCAAAGTGAAGCCGGAGCCAGTAGCTGGTTAACGTTAGCTTAGCATAGCATAAAGACTAGAACATAACCCTGATCGGCAAATCCCAAATTGTTACTTTTTACACTTACCTTAATATACAAATCAAACAAACTAGGCTATAAGTGTTATACGTTAATGTTATAGTATAAGTGTTATTTTATCACCCACGGACAAAGCCTGCACCTTTTTTTCCAGTTGTCATGCTATGCTAAGCTAAACTAATCAGCTTCATCTTTACCTCAAAGACAGAAGGGTGGTTTAACTAAATCTGTGCAGGGAAGTGAATAAAGTTTTATTTGTTTAGTGTTATTTCTTTGAATAACAATCCTGAAGGTGACAAAATAAGGATTAGATTTTGTGTTATGCCGTTAGAATATAAATGTAAAGCAGTCGGATACAGCTGTTCGGAATTAGTCACCGTTATGGGCGAGAAAGATGGGACAGTAGCCTTGCGCCACTGCCTGAAGGACACTAAGGCGTTTGGCGCTGGCAACGCCAAAGGGCGGGTCGGGGGGGTGGGGGCCATGTGGCCGCGGCCGGCAGAGAAGCTCAAATGTGATGGAGTGATGGGAAGACGCAATGCGCAAAAAACACACCGCGGCTGTGCCACGCCAGAAAAGGCCCCTCTGGGTGCAGGAGGACTGTTCTCGGGGAGGTTTTACCGTTTGCTAAAAGAGGACGTTTACTGTTTGAGTGAATGACACACGTGCACACGCGCATGCGATACCCAGCAGACGACCACAAACACAGACACAGAGAAACACAAACGAGAAAGGAGAAAATGAGACGTCAAACAGCAGTAAAACATTAAGTCACAGGTGGACAGACTTTGAAAAAATGCATGCAAAGGATTACAACATTACACACATAAGCCAACTCTATATAGAATCACAACGTCGACATTTATGGTGATGGTTTGGCCCATTTGCTCACCATTCTTGTCCATGGAATGGGGCTCGGATTGCTTCTTGCCAATGTCGGCGAAGGAGCGTACGATGGGAATGCGGTTGGCCAGTTTCTTGTGGTTTTGGTGGTGGTGCTGTTTCAGCAGGGCCTCTCGGATCCTCTTCCTGGCATCCTGACCCACAGGGCCCGACAACTCGTGCTGATCCAAAACCATGTCTGAGGGGTAAAGACACAAGGTGAAACACACAAAAATAGGCTGCCACGCTGACCCGGCCTCTGCCCTGCTGCAGAGCATTGATACGGAAACTTTTTATATTTATTAAAAGTAAGAAGCAGGGCCGGTTTGTTTGTATAGCACCGTTCATAAACAAGGAAACTGTGTGACGCCGAGACAAACATCATAAGAAACACATTGAGAAACAATGGGCCCTCATACTACAAAGGGGCCCATGAAAAGAAAGTGATTCAGTATATTCTTTTCACGTACTAGCACTAGTTAAAAAATCTTCTTGTGTTGTTTATGTTGGATTTTGTTCATGAAATCAATTCATCAGGAGATAAAGGCGACAAAGGAAGCAGTGCGACTGTCGGGCCAAAAAGGTTCAAACCGCTTCTGTTGATTATTGATTTGTTCTATATTGTTTCCAGACTTCAATAGTTCCAACACCGTTTTTTTCATTTTCTCAGTGTTTTCTCAAAATGCCTCAACTGATTCCCGTGGATTGGATATTTTTACCCTTTTTAATGCTTGTTGATGTACCTGGCGAGGCTTGTCGGGATGGAAACATTGAAAATAAGTATAATAGATAAATATAAATAAATATATAGACTTTTGTTTTTATTCAGAAGGTAATATAATAAGATACCGGTAAGATAATAATACAATAATATGATCTTGTTGTTGCAGCCCTAGCCAAGTTTTCTTTGGGTGCAGTTAACTAGAAGCATCAGACAAGGATAACATTGAATTAACCTAATTAAACAGGACACTTAAAAGTGAAAAGTGAAAAGTGATTTGTGCCTTCATTTTACAGAACTGAGATTTGGAAAAGACCTTGGTTTTATAATTGCTTTATTGTGGATGTTACACTTCGCTTAACTTAGGGTTAAAGGTTAACACTAATTCATTCCTCTTTCACTCCAAAAACAATTATTTCTGCTTTATCGTGTTAAAGAGGAAGGGCACAAAATGTACATATTGAATAAAATGGTATATTGTCGTAATAAAGGTAATATATTTAGTAGTTTTTCCTAATCCGAGCAAGTAATTGTAGAAATAAAGAGGTCTGAGAAAGAAGCCGTGGGGAACTCCACATAATTTTAGTTTGCTCAAAAATGGCACAAACCGATTTTAGTTTGAACCCCCAAGATACACAAGACCCTGCGGACATTGTTCCGCCCTAAATGGTCACCTGCGATTTCCTCCAGCGAGTTGGCCCTCATGTCCAGCATCACGGTTCCGTTCATGATGCAGCTGCGGAGCTCGAAAAGACTGTGCAGAGACAAAGTGGCTACGTAGGGTTTACTCCACCGCTCACCACCATCCTCCACGTCTTCCTCAAACTTCAGCCACCTACATTGATAAAAAAAAAAAAAACATAACTCTGTAAATGCATACATACATACGAGACATAAAAATGTATAAAGGTGTACGGTCCCATCAGCATTTCCTGGCTTTACCTTTGAACATTTTCTCAACTAAGGCCAAGCGTTGTAAGTTATGATGAAGTTAAACGGTGCGTGGCGCCATAAAGGCCCGATAAAAGCTTGCATTCAGACGCAAAAAGCAGACCCAGCTGATGTAGTGTACCTGGCTGTCTCTTTCCATTCGGCGTCCTCTCCCTCCCTGAGGCAGATTTCGTCCAGCTCGGTGAACAGGGCGTGGGGGATGTGCTCCTCGTCGCCGTCCTCCGTCCCCAGCAGAAACTGCACCCTCTGAGCTGGTGTGTCCGCTGCAGACAGAAGGACAGGAGATGGAGGGAAGGGAAAAGGAGAGCGCGCGACGGAAAGTAAATACTTTATGATGTGTGCTGGCCAAACTGGTTCAGGGTGAACGGAAGATGGAGTTTGCCTCAGGGCATTTGGACGACATACTGTGCGAGGGGGATTCCTTTCCATCATCAGTCGAGTCCCTCTCCTTGGACCTCTTCCTGTGTTTGTGTCCGTGGTGGCGGTGGCGCCTGTGCGACCTCCTGCCCAGGGGGACGTGAACCCCGATGTAGAGAGTGCGGTGACCTGGAGGCAAACAGCGGCCGACAACATTAGATTCTTCGCGCTGTCGTTTTACAATGTCGTCAAACTCAGGTTTTGTGGTGTACACGATATCCATGCCTGGACAAATGCCATCACTTCATCCCGTTACACATTGGTGTGAAAGTAAATAGTTAAAAGTATTCTTCATTTGTTGCCAAATCCATCGCCCATCAAATTCTAATCAGCCCATTCTTGAGTCCAAGTGAACATTTGAGCCAAATTTGAGGACATTTGCTTTGGGTTTTTCCAAAATATCGCCTACACAAGAACAGATCAGACGTTAGGGGCAGTGATCTTGGACCACTAAATTGCCTTTGCTCAGAAAATGGCACCCATGATAACAAGTGTAATAACTCTGGAACTACTTTCTTTATTTGTACAATTTATATTAGTGGGGGTAAAGGGGAACCTTGTAAGTGATATAGTGTATAAAAATCAGTTTGTATGTTGCTGTTGAAAAGATATAGGATATGATTCCTGATCAGGAATCAGGAATAAGGAATCAAGAAACATTTATTGCCAAAATATGTCAAACATACAAGGAATTTGTCTGGCGGTTGGTGTGTGACAGTAGACAGTGTAACAATAGACAACAAGACAGCAGTGCACAAGTAATAAAATAAGGTAAAATGAAATGCTAATCCAATGGGTTAGTAGAATAAGACTGTGGGTTAGTATAAAACAAGATAATACAGTTAGTTAAACATTTAAAATATTTAAAAAGTTAAAAAATATTAAGCATAAAGTGCACTATTGAACAAGTAACAAAGTGACGAGTGAGAAATGACAGTTAAAGTGGCATGTGCAGTATGAGGGGGAGTGACCGGTGGAGTGTTATAGTCAGTCAGTGGGGGACCGGGCTCTGTTGATGAGCCCGACTGCCGACGGGAAGAAACTGTTGGTGTGGCGGGAGGTCGTAGTCCTGATGGACCTCAGCCTCCTGCCAGATGGAAGGGGCACAAACAGGTTTTGTCCGGGGTGGGAGGGGTCGGCTACGATCTTTTTAGCTCGCTTCAGAGACCTGGAAGCGAACAAGTCCTGCAGGGACGGCAGATTGCAGCCGATCACCCTCTCTGCAGAGCGGATGACACGCTGCAGCCTGCCCTTGTCCTTGGCTGTGATCCACTTGCAGCTGGGAGAGTTTGTCCTGCAGCAGAGACGGGGTGATGGTGTTGAAGGCAGAGCTGAAGTCCACAAACAGGATCCTGGCGTAGGTTCCTGGGGAGTCCAGATGCTGGAGGATGTAGTGGAGGGCCATGTTGACAGCGTCGTCCACAGACCTGTTGGCTCTGTAGGCGAAATGCAGGGGGTCCAGGAGGGGGTCGGTGAGGGACTTCAGGTGGGTCAGGACTAGCCGTTCAAAAGACTTCATGACTACAGAGGTCAGGGCGACGGGCCTGTAGTCATTGAGTCCTGTGATCCTGGGCTTCTTGGGAACAGGGATGATGGTGGATGGTGGTACAGAATCAGTAAATTGAGTGATTGAGGCCGGGCGTTGCCGTGTAGTCAGTTAGAGTGGAACCACAGAAGCAGCACGTGGCAAATGCCAGAAAAAAAACTGCCAGATCCCGCCTGGCCCGCATGGCCAGCGTGTAAATAAGGAGCTCTTTTGCTCTGTCTGAAAATTGATTTTGAAATTGGATTACTTTATTCATCAATATGGAACAAATCAAGAGACTGGGATTGTGAACTGGTAGCGCGAGCTCGCTCTTTTTATGCGCGTGCCTGTGTGAGTATGCGCACACATGAGGGTCAGCACAAAGATAATGTGAGCTGATGTTCCCCCCCTTTGTTGTGGTCGAGCCGGACGGCACGATGGGACGCCCTGTTCGCCTGCACCATGTGGGGCGCCACAGCAAATGGCATTGTGCCACTTTGAGGGCAATGTGATGCTTGGAGAGCAACACTCCAGTGTATCCAGTAATGAATAAGTTCCCTTATGTCCTTATCGGTACACGTACATTCTAATTTAATTTGTTAGACGTGAACCTCTTGCTGTATTGAAGAAGACTTGAAATTAGAGACTTTAAACTGATATTTACAATGTTAACTGAGCTAATAAGTATAATTAATAATAAAAGAAAATAGAGTAATTTCCTCATTGACTTTTATATAATCAGGGTTCTTTTCACAACCAGAGGAGTCTGCCCCTGCTGGTTTGGAATAAGAATTGAAAAAACACGAAACAAAGGTTACAGGTGTTTTTTATTTTAGTTTTAGGCCACTAGCTTTTGTCCTTATTATTCTGCTAAAACAACGCTGTGAAGAACCTCTGACTTCATTGTGTCCCGTTCACAAAACCTAAGACCTTAAATCCTTTCATCCATCTATTGTAGAGAAAATGTTAAAGAACCCCTTTTGCTTTCAAAGTTAAATACAAGCTCAAGTTAAGCCATTTATGCAGCTTCCAGATTCCCACACGAATGCCTTCAAATGCCCCTTGCTTTGCAGACACGGCTGATCACGCCGCAGTGTACCAATCAGATTGAAGCGACGCACAGTCATTAAGTAAGAGCACGCTGACATAACGGCATCTGAAATGACTCAGGCACTCAGTCAATACCTCCCACACGTAGGATTTCAGGACGGAGGTCGAGTGAAGTGTGTGCGAAGCAATCTAGGATCCCATAAATATTCCATATGTTGGGGCTGAGAGGTGCGATTGAGATAACCTCAAAAGGAGCTTCTCCTCCTGCGAGCTAGTCATTACGGACAACCCTCTTCTCGATATGAGGGCCTTTGAGATGAAAGCACCATCTCACCGCCGCTGTCAGAATCAAACGTTGCATGGCAACAAAAATACAGTGGATACCGATGTGGGGGGCAAATCTCTGCAATTCTCAAAAAAACAAAGATTTTATTCAATATTTTCTACCTATATATATTTTCCAGCCTACTTTCTTGACTAAAGTGCCATGGTCAAGCTGGTAAGTTCCCCTAATATATATATATATAAACAAATAATACATCAGTCAGTTGCAACACTTTCTTGGTGTTATTTTCTATACTATTAATATTATTTTGATTGTCCAGTAAAATCCAAAGGATTTGTAGTTCATTCCTACTCGGGAGGCCTTGCCGTTATTCAGCTCTCGAATGTAGCAGGATGACTGCAATTCCACTTATCCGTTGGTGTCCTTAAGTGATAAAAGAGACTTTCTAAAAGTTATATAGACAAGATCAGTAAAGCCTGGATGGAACAGATTTCCCTCAGCTTATGTGCCAGATCTAAGAGTATTCTGTCCAGACAAGTAACAAGCTCAGTAAACCTGTTTTTTGCAAGAGCCGGATAGTTCAAGATTCTGTTGAAATTGCCGTCTCTCTCTTTTTGACGGTGGACGAAATGCATGAAGCGCTCGCTGTGTGATGCTGCAGGACACATATCAGAACCTGATATCCAGCAGTGAGGCTTCAGACAGGTGGACGGACGTTTAGTCTGTCATGTTTAGTGACTAAAAACACGTGTTTTTAATTTTAGATGTCAATGATCTTATGGGTGTTACCTTCCAACTCTTCCTTCTCAAAGTTGGTGTTGAGCATGGAGCGCGTGCCGCCGCGGTCCACCACCGCCTCCTCATCAGCTCTCTGCAAGAGACAAACACACCAGGAACTGTGACGACAGTTTGCGTCTGACACACACATACTACGACACACGACGCCGCTTAATGAGGGCCAGTAACTCAGTGCGTTTGCCGTTGTGATGCCACGTGAAAGGCAAGCGGGCTCGCAGAAGGAGCCTCCCTGAATAAAAATCCATACATCATCAAAATGCTGTTGTTACGTAAGCCTATTTGGAAGTCGTGTCCCAAAAAGGGAAACAACATACTCAGCATCAAAACACCCCCCAACTTCCACTGAGTATCACCATGGCAACGCGATGGCAGCCGAGAAACGTCACCGGCAGAGCTCCACGGTTCACGCTCAGTTCTTGAGTCCCGCCCTGAACGGGGCTGCGCCATCATTTGCGTGGGCCTTAAATCACGTACATGTTACGCCCCCCCACACCTGCTGCAGGGATACATTTCTCGGGAACTAGGACAGCAGCACATGCTGGATGCGTTGAGCCGAGGAGGCGCTGTGCAAATTGATGCAGCGTTTCCTGGTTCTACTCCGCGCTATGAATAGCTCTTGACCTTGAAAAAGAAAAGGGGAATGTGTCTTTGAATTGCTCTGCGCTTTTAATGTTTGATGGAAGAACTGCCTCGTTACTCGGGATGTTTTCCATTCAGAGTGGTAATCTTTGGTTGGTGGAAAATAAGAAATGCTCCCTCTGGAAAACTGCTACTGCAGAGCCCAGCGTGCTGTAGAAATCACCACTGAGGGCCCACATGTTTAAAATGATCATTCAGAGCAGACGCTCTCCTGCCACGGGAGCTTTAAGAGTGCGCCAGCAGCTCCCCGATCGACACCTATCCAGTGCAAATGTGTGTCACTGAAAAACCCCATTAGGTAATAAGAAGACTGCATGAATCCCAGTCATCTAAGACTGTGGTTACATTGACACGTTTAGCCTTAGAATAGAGAGACGGCTTCCTGGGGTTTGTTCCTATCAAGTTCCATTGCCCAGGGAGCTTCACATAATAGACCTGCGGGCCACGTCAACATGGTACCCATCTTCCTCCTCTCCTGACTCTCTCCCTGAAATCCAGATGTGTGTTTGTTATGTTCATGTGACCTTGAGACGCCCTCCAAGTTGCCGCAGGTCCGGACATTATTACTATCTTGTTGATCAGAGAACAGCGTGATTATCTATGCTAATGCCGTCTGTAAGCCTTCCCAATAATACTGAAGGAACAATAAGCTAAAACCACTACATTTTAGACATCGGAAAAGAGATGTGCAGTTGGGCATGTCTTAATAAAGCTTAAGAGATTATTGTAAGGGAGAGTCGGCCCAATCCAAGTTCCACTGGTCCAGAGTCTGGCGTCTGATTTGAGTGTAAAATTGACTGTTCTCAGTGTCAAACCCCAATATGTTCTTCCCTCCAGATGACTTTAAGTCAGGGGTCTCAAACAAGCGGCCCGCGGGCCAATTGCGGCCCCCTTGGGACGATATTTTGTGGCCCCCACCTTAATATGAAAGTTTAATATTGGTGCGGCCCGCAAGCTTTATATTGTAGCAACCCCGCTGTGAGCTGCTGTGTGGGACAATGTTATGATGTTTTGGTTTCCTACTGTGTGCCTGTCCAGTGAATGCAGCATGCGTGTGAGTGACATGGGGGGTGACATGGGGGGCGGGGTTGTGTGTGTGTGTGTGTGTGTGTGAGTGAGTGAGAGAGAGAGAGAGAGAGTGAGTGAGAGCCGGGAGAGAAAATAGTGGCTTTGGATGTGCAGAGAGCAGGAGGGAGAAATTCATACTTTTCCGGCCTCTTTTCGCGGTTTAAGTAGTACAGTACAACAAACGTTTGTGTAGAATTCGTCGTTCAGGTACAACAACAGGTTATTAGGAAATGTGTAACAATAATAACAACATCTGCTGATCTAATGCAAACATTTTGCACTGGAAAAAAACCACCAAACATAAGGTGATTATTTCTCATGAGAGGATGAACAAAAAGAAAATTCAAATTATTTCATATTATCAGCTGACATTTGTCTACATTTGTCAGGCACATGATTAAATATGAATGCAACCTCTCTTCATCGGCTTCATACAATTAGTGGAGTTACAGAAAAGGTCAAAGAGCCCCCTGAGCTCATCCCATTTAATTATTGAGCCTTTCAAACATCAAAATAAACTTCCTAGAGCTCATATGTCAAACTCATGACCCGCGGGCCACATCCGGCCCGCCGGATGACTATTGTGAGGGATGAGGGACGAGAGGCTGGTTGTGTTTTGTTTTATATTGATTTTGTGTCGTTTAGACTTTCCACGTGTGTGGTGCATGTCTCTCTAAAGTTGTACGTGGCTTTTCCGCTAGAATTGCCGTTAGATGAAATTAAATAACTTAAGTATTTTTTTAAACATAAATCAGAATAGTACATTTCAAGCCGTACACAAACCCAAGGTTTGTGTCCAAAGAATAATAACATGTACTGTTCTCTGACAAGCTGGAGGTTGCCGACGCTGGACGTCAGTCTCTAATCCCGGGAGATTAAACCAGAACACTGGTGGTACAACACTCGAGAGACGCACACACATGGACACCCACGTGAGGGGATGAGTCCCGGAGCACGGGATGAGTGTGTGGACAGATGCTGCGCGCTGACATGGCGGACATACTGTACAGAGGGACGTTAAACAAGCCGTGGGAGGAAGCACATAATCAGCACTGGAGACGGAAAGGTGACGTCCCAAAGCCCAAACGATCCAATAGCTAAAGACGCTGGCGCTTTTGACAACAGGGATCACAAAATGACACCCCCTTGTAAGCTTTACATTACTTTGCAAAGACCCTGGGAGAGTCGCTCATGTGATGGCACGAGGAGGAAAAGCAACATTGTTGCATCCTAATTATCATAATGAATGAGAGCTGTGTTGAACACAGTCTATCGAGTACATGACGTCTAACCACTGTTGCCATCTGCCAAGTCCACTGGCGTCTTCCAGCAACAAGTCCCACCTGGTGAGACTTCACACCAAAAATCGTTAGCCATATTGTCACAAAGACTGGAAAATATGGGAAAATAGGGTCCATGTTACATTTATATGCACAGCTTTACCTTTGTAACACGGATCATGGTTTGTTTGTTTTTCTCATACTTACTACAATACTACTACTACTTCTTGTAGACAATAATGGAAAAATAATAAATACTTAGAAATCAAAATTGTTTTCTTATACCAACATCATACATTGCATTAAAAATGAAAAAAACATATGCTTTCCTGCTGTCCGGCCTTCCACACTGGAATGTGGATGGAGAACTGATTGCCATTTAAAGTTCTTGATTTATGACCCTGAGCAGTAATTGTACTCACGCCGTGAGATGAAAAGATCAAGTTTGCGACCGAATGATTGTGTTGTCACATGTATGTAATGTATTTGTGGTGTTTAGGTCTTGTCGAAGGGATCTTTATCTCAATGGAACTTCCTGAACGAATTAAGTAAACCCTCAAAATAAAGAATACTTTTGCTCATGCGATGCATGCATTTTCTGATAAATATTCCCACACAAAGCTTGCCCCTTTTGAGCCAAATCTCCCTACGGGTCCCTGTTACTATTTATAGACACTTGTTTCTCTACCTCATGATGCTGACCCCAGACCAGCTGAGGGAGAGTCGTATTTCACCGCCCACCAATCTGGGTTGAGATTAATCTCCCGGCCTTTATGGCGGGATGCGCGAGGTGGAGGAGGGGCAGGCATGATGAGTAGAAACGCGCTAACATGCATCATCATACATCATGTCCACTTGGCCCCACACGAGGCTTTATTTCTCCCTCATATGCCTCTTTGCTTTACCGCTTATTGATTTGACGCCGTGCGCTCCTCCAGTCGCAGTATTCCCGTGTGCGGCAGCTCGCAGCAATGCACCGTACACGCCATCACGCGTGCGACTGCAGACAGTTCCTCTCTGCAGGCGGAGTGGTGTGAGGGGGCGGAGCCGCGTGGATGAGTGAGCTGTGCAAGGGAGAGGGGGTGACGGGGGGGGCAAAAGGCTTCAGGGCCGCGGACACCAACCGGGGACCAGAGGATGTTCTAATGTCACAGCGTGTGTGTGTGTGTGTGTGTGAGCAGAGCGTTGTGCAGGGGCAGCTAGTGGAGCATCATGACCTTGACGGGCTTGACATTGAATTCTATTTGAATTCAGTTCAGTGCCGATATCCGTTGATGTGCGGCGTATTGATTTGACTTCAATATCCTGCAACCAATAATACCACAGACCTGCTATGCCTCCAGTATGAGCTGGCTGTATTAAGTATTCCTTAATCATAAAACGCACGTAGATTAATACATGCATGAAAGGAAAAGCAGGCCCCGTCTTTCGAAGTTAGATTCATAAATATGTAAATTCAACAGCGTGAATTCAGCATTGAACTGGCTGCATGCACATTGACTATTTCATATGCCGTATTACATATTCTTTTATAATAGGCGTAGATTAAATCAAGCACTCTGATTGGTTGAGAGTGAGTCGGTGGGTGTACTGTATTGAGCCATAATCTACTGTACACCTGTTTACATTTCCCTGAGCATTCCATTTTAGTGCACACTCAAAAGAAGTCACATTTTGCCTTAGTACGTTAGTCGTCATTTCAGTCTTTAGCTCGGTGGTGAAACGCCACAAAGGACCGGTGCAATGCGTCATGCGAGCTTTCGCAACCGATTTAGGGCTTTTTTTTGCCAAAGGGGACTATGGGCCCTTTTTCCCCACCAAAGTAAGGTCAACCCGGTTGGTGTTTCAGTTTGTTTTGACGCGTTTAAATACTCCTTGAGACATCTCCAATTGTGATTGTCCTTTATTTTGTATATTAGTGACACCATCAAATGGTCTTAACACCTGGCTCTTCCACACTCGCGCTGTCACTATTTAGCTCCCCACAAACACCAAGACTCGTGGTAAGTAATCCTCCTGATTATATCAACCTTGCGGCCTAATTGAAACACAACCTCCCACCACTTAGGGAGAGGAGCTAACAATC